GAATAAATAAGGTGAGATCCCCTAGCTAGGCATTTTGGCGGCAGTCCAGTCCCCCTTCCCCAAGTGGTATTTACCGGCAGGGCTCCCACCAGTTTCTGTAAGACTGTCGCTTGGGCCTCAGAACCAGAGAAGGGACAGCCGTTGCTGGCCTATTCCACACTGTTATAGCATGGACAATAAGATTAGAAAGAGGATAAGTTATTACGAAAAAGTAAACCATGTTGCTGCTCCGCATGAGTCTTCCAGTGGAACACCAGCATGTAGCGCTATAGATGTTGCCACCACTCTGGTTGAGTGCGCTTTAGGTGGTTCTGGGAGTTCCAGTCCAGCTATCTAGTAGTCTAGCTTGATGATCTCTATGATTCAGTAAGCTAGTCTTTGTGGTGCTAATGGGTTACCTTTGGTTTTTTCTGCGTATGAAACCATTTTTGTTTGTTTGTTTTACAGATCAGTTCCGTGTGAGAGCGATAAAAGGCTAGTGTTTGTTGAACATCCAATGAGTGTAGTGCTGTTTGTATAGGTCCAGATGGTGTCAGGAAGAAAGCTGGTAGATGCTGGGTATTTTTAGCCTTGAGGGGAAGAGACTCAGAGGGCACCTCTTAGCGACATACAGGTACATGAGGGGGTGCCACACAAAGGTGGGTCATGACCCTTTTTCCCCTGCAGTGGATGGCAGGGCACGTTCCATCCAGCAAAGCTCAGGGAACCAAGATTTAGGGTGGATGCCAGGAAGTACTTCCTGATGGTTAGGACCCCTAGGGTATGGAATGGGCTTCCACGGGTGGTGGTTGAAACCCCAGCAGTGAGTGTTTAAGGATAGGCTGGATATGTACATGGTAGGCATGTCATGAGGGGAGCCAGCTGGAGCTGGGGGTCAGGCTAGATGGCTCAGGAGGCCCCTTCTGTTTCTATATTTCTATATTCTGATTCAAGAGGAAGCTAGAAACTACCTTTGGAAGGAAAGAGTCATCTGGTTGGAGCACTGCCTCATCCTTATGAAAGACGAGGAACAGAGGTTCAGTTTGGAGAGCAGTTCACTAGCCCAGCAGTAATGGCCACAAGGAATGCCACCTTCCAGGAGACAAGGCAGGTATCGATGGAAGCTAAAGGTTTGAAAGGTGGCTTTTTTTAAGCCTGGCAAAACTACTGAAAAAGCTCCATCATTGGCACCATTGATCAGGTTGGTGGTTTTATACTCCTTTCAGGAACTCTGTGGTCAGATGGGGCAGATCAAATCACTCTCTTTGCGCAAAGCATAGCTACATCCATTTCTATGCTGGTTGATGGGAAAGTAGTCCATATAGTTCTCAGGGATATGAATTCAATGCAGTACCCAAATTCAATAATGGAGAGTACCCATCTGTACCCTTTGGGGCAGAAATTTTGTTAAATGGCCTTCAAACCATATAAATTTTGATGGTGAGGGACTGGTTCAGGTTGGTAGTCAGTGGCATCAGCTCTCGACATCCAGCTGTTTTTTGCAAGATTGCAAGATGGAGCATCCTGACATTGCTGAGTGGGCAGTCATCTTGGGCAAGCCAAATACTATGGCTGATTCCTGCCATGTTAGTAGAATGGGCCCCATGGCTACTTACATGCTGTCAGAGCGAAGGGTGCAATGCCCATCTGCTTCACCATTGTCCTTGCTTTTTGTACACTGTCCAACTTTTTGCTGGTTCAGGTGTTGAAGAGGCCACCCTCGGGGTTGAAAGGCACCTCTTTGATCTGTGCCCATGAAGAGTTGTGGGAAAGTCGATGCTCTGCGCTACACATGTTAGCGAATCATGATGCCACCAACCAGTGCTCTTGCAATGGCAGTCTAGGTGGTGCTGCATGGTGTTGATCTGTTATTTTGAGAGACTAGGGGCTTCCAAACAGAAGCCTCTAGCAAGTTCTCAGTGCTGTTCTGGGAGAAATGGTGCTAGGGCACCCATTTCCCACAGAAACACTTGGTGGCGTGCCAGTGTTGCTTTGTAATTCAAAATACAAAGCCTAAGCCCCATTGCAATATATATTCTTCTTGCCATTGAGTGCTGCCAGAGTCCTTCATGGTCCACATGTTCTTTCTGAGAATGTCTTTTGGCTGACTCCACAATCACCAAGTTGTGACAAGGGTGATGCAGAAGGAAAGAGATGCCCCCCTCCTGGACTCAGTATAGACTAAACATTGTGAAGCTGGCCTTTGTTGAGTTGGTGCCTTCCATGAATTCTTCATAGTATTGAGAAGGGTCGGTATGAATGGAATGGCTACTGGCACGGCATCCTCCATTTGGACAATGTGGTATATAAGGTCAACTGGTGGTTCAGCTAGCTGCTGCAATTCCAACCCAAGTGACATCGCCATCCAGAGAACTTGCTCAGAGAATCTTCCCAAGTCCTTGGAAGGGTATCCTTGTCCTTGCATTGTTATCACATCCTCAAGTGATGTGGGCATCTGTTCCTCATATAGTGGTTGGTCAGAGGCAGAGTCTGCCAGAACAAATGAGGAGCTGGAACGACTGGATCGTGAAGATGCATGCAGTGGTGGTTTGACACACTGGTAGCGGGACGTGTGCGTGTGCTGGGATGGGTGGCGTGGTGGGTCATGGATCTCCTTGCGGGAATGAGGAGAGATTCCAGTATTGGTAAGGCATCTCCCTTGACCTTGGTTCCCAGATGTGCTGCCTGTATGGAACTGGGGGTGACATCCAGTGGGTTTCTCTCTCTCAAGGGGCATGGGTGTTCCATTGAGCCCCCGGAAAGGGCTGGTGCAATCAGCTCATTTGTCAGTCCAGGGAGAAGCTCTCACATAGGAGTTGTTGGAGGCAAGTCTCATGGCTCACACCCCAAGAACAAGTGTTCAGTGTACTCTGGCTGGATCATCGATCCAGAGGCCAGTGCCCTTGGTGGAGGCAGCAGAACTGGTGATGTAACCAGTACAGGTTCCACCAGACACACCCCAGAGCAGAATGGAGATTGGCCTGGTGCGGGGGTATGGCAGTGAGCCTTCTTAGGCTTCCCTGAGGACTTTTTTTCTGCCATTTTTGAGCCACTGTTGGTTGTCATTTTGAGGCGATGTTTGGGCCTCTTTTGGGGCCTCTTTTCAGTGGACTTCACAGTGGATTTTAACTGTTCAGCTGGTGGAGCCCCAGCAACTGCTGAAGGGGGGCGAGCATTCGGCCATGAAGTCCATGGGCCTGGCGCAACTGTATCAGCTGCCTTTAAGGCTCTAGTCCACATTTCATGGTGTAGGCAACCTGCACAGTTCTTCCTTGCCTGCATAGTAAAAGTCTGTCAATGTAGGCAAGAAACTTCCCTGTGATCTTCTCCTGGGAAGAGAAGACAAAGCAAGTGCCGATCAGTTGACGCCATCTTGGTGCCACAGCAGGCACACTTTTGAAATGCAGCCATGAATGCCAAGAAAAATTGAAGGGCACGGGAGTAAGGCAACTGTATGAGGATGAGGTAAGATTGATAGATGGTGGAGGCTTTTTAATTATAAGATTAGTTAAGTTTTAAAAGGTTGAAAAGTGAGAGAAAGTCGCATTTTGTGAGGTAAACGAGATCTTTAGATTGTGGGGACAACAAGGGAGGAGTGAATCTGAGGCACCCAAGGTGGAGATGAAAACAAATGGGAGAAAATGGCAGGAGCCCTGCCTTTATATACCCCTCAGGAAAGGCAGGGTGGGACTCCATTCAAAATGGGTAGCCAGAGAGTCCCTATCGGTCTGACAACAGGCCCCATGCAAGCACAGAGCCTGTATGTGCGAAGCAGAGATCACGAAGAATGACAGAACCTGAATGGAGTAACTGCTTGTGACGTGGTATCAGGTACTTCTCAAAGACCCATCTTGGATACAAATAAAGATCTGCATCATTCTGTAAACTCACCAATCTACTTCAATGACAGTATGAATTCAAAATAACTTCAGAAATTAAGGATCAAAACTGCAGACAAATTAGCACAATGGCATTATATATATCTATGGTGGATCTACATTTGCAGCACAGAGTTCAGTTAAAGAAAAAATACTCAAACCACAAACCTCAGGCTCATCCACTGAAACTCACAGGTAGGTTGGAAAGAAATACATAATGCCACATATCTACAGCAGTGAGAAGCTGTGACAGACTCTAGCATAAATATGTTTATTTAACAAAGAATTTCATTAGTGAAATTAATTTATTGGTAGCTAGTCAAAAATTCAGAGGTTACATACCTATCAGAGGTTATATACCTTTAATTCCTTAAGGTTATATACCCTTATATTCAGAGGTTATATATCTTTAAATGACAGACTGGAGGGATTCACAGCAGTCAGTCATGATAGTTAAATGGAAATTCCATTTTAAGAGGCAGCAAACTTCTGAATAATAGGATCTAGGGACCTATAGCAGGAAATGCCTGCTGCGTTAATGCCTTGGGTGTGAGAAGAATCTGGACTGTCAAAGTCAGAAATTGGATTCTGCACTAGAAAGATCTTCAGTCTGATTCTTCAGGATTCTTACACCTTGTATTCCCCTTATGCATTGACAACTGTTAGCTGGAGAGGCTGGAAAATTCCATTCAGTCCACATGTTTTAGCAAACTGACCTAATCTGCATTACCCAGATAAATACATGAATCAGAACAATCTTGTTCTTTGTCCTGTCCATTTCTCCAAATCATACAATGCAGCTCAGCTCAAAAATGTAGTCAAAAGTGTGTATTATCTTTAAGGAAAACTAATCAAAATGTGATTTTCACACCCTAAAAAATCACAGACTGTGGCATAGAACAAGCTTAGGATAGAATACATATGACGTTAACCCAAAGTAGAAATAGACTGCTCATCCTTACTGTTAGCAGATTATCAAGATGGCTCAGCCATTAGTCCAACCCAGTATGGCAGTCATTGTGCATGGTAAAACAAACAAAATGTTACTACCTAAGTTATTGTATGTTGAAATCAGAATATCCTTTGTTTCAAACTGCAGTGCTTGATTTGCTCCACCTTGTAAAAAGTGACTCAACACGGGTAAGCAGTCTTGGTTGGTATTTATTGAAGCCATTAATTAGACAGGTCCTCATTTTTGCCAGCACTAGAAAGCAAGATTCCACATGACTGCACCTGGTTAAAGCCATACAACTGGACTAAGGGTTGTGTTTGGATACATCTGCAGTCCTCATTAGAAGTTAAAAACATCAATAAACTTAGTAATATTGAAGAGTGAATTTTCATTTACAGCATGGATATGGTTAAGTTCAGTCACTTTCAATGTAGTTAAATTAAATAAAATACAACAAGTTCTGTTCAGTTTAAACAAGTTTTAAAATGCCAATAAAAAGTGCAAACTTAAAAAAAATCAAGCAGCATAACCATAGCATTTTGATGGAGGGCCAATCCTTAATCCTTTATATTTGCCTTCTCTTCAAGTTCAATAGGTTATTACTTTAGTTTAAACATGAACAGTAGATGCAATCACTATTCTGTATATAAATATAGCCATGTAATAATTTTAACAGTCTACCATAAAAGTGTATCCTGAAAATAAAGTTAATTGTATTTTTAAACATAAAGGCTGTTTACAGTTTGGCCTTTGGTTCCAATGCTTGAGAACACCAGAAAAGACAACCGTGCAGCTTTCCAAAGTTGCTAGACTATGGCAACCAACAAACACTGCATTACTTACAGCTTCCTTCCTTTGAGAAACTAGGAGTATTCACTTGCAAAAGGGAAGTGTGGGGGCCGGTGGGTGGGAGTCAAATTCTGCTTGGATTCAAGTGCTCCTTTGCACAACTTGGAAATGTATTTTGTTGGCTTTTGCTCATTTGAAGCAGATCTAACACTCATTTTATGAAAATGAAAAAATACTTCACTAGCCACTTGTACACATTATAGGTACACAAAGTGAATTGTCCACATGAATGAGAAAAACATTAATAAAAAGAGGCAGTTGTGTACTGAGGCATACATTAGAACCACATACTCTCATGAAACATTTGCTCATCCTATTTATTCATTTTGCTTCAAAGATGTAATTCCCTACAACTGAAAAAGTGTAACCAAAAACAAGTCTAGACTAGCCAACTCATCAGAAGGCTGACTCTATGCCATTTGCATTCAGCAAATTTGGCAAGATGGTGAAATTCTCTCTACTAGAACCCATTGTGAGCTCTACCATCCCAAAGTGCCAACCTGCTTTGTATTATTACATGGCACAAACATTGTAGCTCCCTAACAGTATAGTGAAGTTGCATACCAAAGGAACAGATGCAAGTCACATCTGTTGGGGTCATACAAGGCTACATTCTTCATTAATGAGCATCTGGCAAATCATATGCCAGACTGTTATAGGCAGCAAAACAACACACCAGATTCACTGGTCACTGCTTCTCAGTTTAAGATCTAGGCAACTGTGGATGAAACTGAGACTTAAAAATGTATAAAAATGTAAAAAGAAAAAGACATAACTGGCATGAGTTAACATGCTTTTATGTTAATGCAAGTAAATACTCTTAGCTTTACTAGATAGTGTTAGACAGACTTACAAAAACAAAGAGATGCCTCTTCATATAACACAGGGTTTGCAATTACATCCAGTATTGTGTTAGTGGTCAATTCATTTTGTATATTTAACTATATATATATATATATTATAAATATTAGGGGTGTTCTATTCAGAAACAAGATTTAGCATAACACAAATTTGTCATTAAAAAGTAAACTCTGCATAATTCATAGGTGGTATTTTCCCTTCTGTGTATGGATCACACACATGTTTGGTACTATAACGTAAGGTAGTGTTTCTCTGTCAGGTAGATCATACAAAAACTCAAAAGTGCCTTTTCAGTAACTGTGGGAGTCTTTCATAGAAGTATCATTTAATGTGATAATGGGTACTAACGTGAGTAGTAATGAGGGACAACCGTAAGATTGTAAAAGGCTACACTGAGGGGATTATACACAAGTGTAATGAAGTCACTGAGTTCTAGGTTTATCAAGGTAAACCTACCAACTCTCTACTTTACTACAAATTGGAACAAGATTCTTTTAAACCTACCAGAAAATTATCACAGGGTTTTCCAACCTTAAGGCAGGATTCAGTTAACTCTCAGGTCGAAAAACGAGCGAAAAACAATTGGTTTCTATGCTGCAACACATTTCATTATAGGAAAGTGATGATGTGACCCATTTCTCTTAAGAGGCCACACAGTTGGTGTTTAGAAAGAAAGGAAAACAAAACAAGGCAGAAGATATCAGAAAAAAAGAATTCAAGATTAAACATGACTATAAAAAGTTACCAAGTTTTAAAATAAAGTCAAACAAACAGAGACTGTTTGTACTACAGTGCACAAGAGGTTCAAGCACCTTCTAAAAGACACATCTCTCACTGTGCCAGGCACTTGGTCTAAGCAAGTTTCTCCCTGTGTCAGTTATGACAAAAAAGGGCACCAACACATTTTAAGTATCTTATTATTAGAACTAAAAATGCAATTTATAGAAAAAAATCCCATGATGCTCAGTGTTTTAAGCTTTGAGCGTCCCCAATTGTAAAGGCTTTTCTTTTTAAACCGTGATTATCTATTCAACACTGCTTTTCTCCAGTCTGTCCGACATGCTTTTCACTTCTATTTAACAGATCTTGCATTTCCCCCTTTTAAAATGCAGCATTTTATACACTCTTCATCCAAACAAAACTCTGCTACACCAGATTCTTTCCAAGTACAAGTATGGTTTGAATGGCTAACTCCAGTAAACTTGAAAAAAGGGATTTCATTCTTCCTTAGTGCCAGCAGCTACTCGCAGCTTTTCAACAGGAATTCTGCATCCCACTTCTCTGTGCTCTTCCCTAAGAACCACAGTTGCACCTTGTTTGCCACTCAGATAAGAGAATTGCCCTATTTAAACTCTAAATGGTTATCTTAAAACAGAGGAATTTTATATGCAAAACTTCCTGAATGTGCACTTGATAACTGGGACAAGCCAATGAAGGTTAAATTTCATTTCCCCCTGCCCCAAGAAAACTTATAGCATCTGCCATAGCAGAGAGCTCCTGGTCTTATCAGATCAATATACATAGTTATTTGGTCATTTACATATGCAGGTTCAAGCATTATCAAGCTTCATTTTCTGTTGGAGAGGAGTTGGCCATTACCATAGAGTCTGGCTTGCGAGTCATTCTATCCAGTTCTTCTTGAACATTCGTCAAAACAGTTTTTTGTCCTAAAAAGCAATTACTGTTTTAGTGTATGTATGCAAATAGTAGCCAGTTCTAAACATTCTGTCTCTGTCATATTTGTGAAGACCAGTATTTTAGCATCACAATAAACAGTGGAATTATAAAGACTGAGCTAGCTGAGTTTTCCACAAGACACAGAACTATCTGCTGAAAGACTTTTCTGCTGCCAAACCAAAACATCGAATGGCCTCATTATGGTATAGGCAGGAACGCCTGGATCACATGCAATGCTAAACCAGGTTTAGCACTACAATGACAGGCCTAAACAAGCCTAAGAAAACTGTCAGGCCCATTCCTTCCCCTATGTAATTGGGAAGATGCCTTCAGAAAAGTTATGTTTAAAAGTTCAACCCATGGGATGCATTACATGTAGGTCAGCCCAGTAAATTAGTATGAACAATCTCCCCACCCCATATTAGCTTTTTTGGTAATACCTGATTTTTTAGCTGTGGTCTGAACTCCTCCTGCACCAGGACTCCCAGGAGAGCCGGTCTTTTTACTCAAGAGACTGTTAAAGAAGCTGGCCAGCACGCCCTCGCTTGCAGCATTATCTGCATTAATTGGAAGGAATCAAGTTTAAATACGTAGGATTGTGAAAGATAAACAATCTTCTGATATTTTAAAAGATATTTTAAAAGAATCCCTTATTTTTTAAAATAAAATGAAACAATAAAGGTATAAGAAACAATGTAATCTCTAAGCCATACTGATCCCTTCTTGGTGTCCAAAGAGGAATTATATGTAAAATATTTTCTCAAATTAAAATTTATGACCTTAAATTTATTCAGTTTTCCCAGTTTAGTGGTCCCTTCTTCTGGCAATGTAGCTGGCATTCATTCCTCCATAAAACATTTGAGGAGGGACTTCCTTGTTGGGTCTGAATTTGTTGTGAAAGTATTTCTGTAATTAAGGGCTCCATCCTTAAAGATGTTTTTGTCTCTTGACTTATGGCAACCGTATGAGTGAATGTCCTCCAGAATACCCTGTCCTTGACAGCCCAGCTCAACTCTGCAAACTCAGAGCTGTGACTTCCTTTACAGAACAAACATGGCCTAGAAATATGTTTTAAAAATCAATATTAAATCAGATTCAATCAAATTTGGAAGTTCCAAACTTACTTGTTTGTACTATGCTTAATAATTAAATGAGCCACAACTAATTAACTGTGTAGCAATTTCTTTTATGGAAATAAGTATTAATTCATTATCTTAATCATTGATTGACTCTTAGCATTTCTCAGCTGCAACAGCTGCCTGCCAAAAATTCTACATGAATATTCAATGCTATGAACCACATCTGTACCTTGTGACTTTCATCTAAAACACTCACAGTTCCAGGAACAGAATATATTGCATATAAAATAGATTAAGTTGCAATACATACTTTTAATAGTTGGATCGGGTTTCTTAACGGATGCTATTGGTGAAGCACTGGGAACATTAGCAGGGCCTGCCCTGCCCTGGGGTCTTGGAGATCCAGAAGGCCCTCGTGCAGGAGACTCCTAGATAATATAAGAATGACATTTGCAGCCAAGAGCAAATAAGCCAAAGTTTAACTACAAATGCATAAATCAGTATTTGGTTGCTCTGAGATTTCACGAAGTGCAAACAGCTTCTCTAAAATAAAAAAGAACTACAGAGTGTGGTGAAATAAATGGAAAAATGGCATAAGTTTCAGTTTAGTGTTTCCACCCAATGAGTTTTGTGTCATTGTGCATTCTTCAAATGAATTCTTTCTCCTCCAGTGTATTTTCTTTCTTTACTGACTTTTCCTCTTTAAGTGTTCAAACTTTCCTCTCTTCTTTTTCCTCTCTGCTTTATTCAGTCTCTTGTGCACCCTTCTAGCCAACTCCCACATCAATTTGGGAACGCTATTCACACACTGAACCAGAAGAGTCAAATGTCAGCTCCTAGCCATGCTTTAGAAGACACGTTTTATGGTCCAAATATCCTGCTTCAGGGAGATTCTAAGCAACCACTGTAAAAACATTCAGTAGTCATTTAGTCCACAGGATAAACTTGAATTTTAAACTGCAAATTGCTTTCCAACAAATGAATACTTACAGAAGCTCTTGTAGGTGTGGCTGGCTGCTTGGCAAGGTAAGACTACAAAAAGAACAAACAGAGTGTCAATATACTAGGAAAAATGTTCAGAAATATACATATTTATAATAAATTGTCCTCTTGAGCAGACTTAACCTTACCCCATTTGACTCTGACGAATTTATCACTAGAGGGCACCACAGTTAAAGTTACCTGTACCTGATCTGAGACGTATATGGAATCAGCAAAAACCGTTAAAGCTACGAAATCTTTCCAGCAACAGGCCCTGTGCAGCTGCAGCACCCTTATATGCGTGATGCAGAGACCATGACAAAGAAGCATATGCAATCAGCAGAGAACACTGAATTATACTTACTGGTTTCAAGCCACAGATTCAAATGATTATCACTATCCCTGATCTACAATGCTAGTCCTAAGTAAAAGCTTATTTCCAGGAACAAGGGAATTTCAGCACAATAAGGCAAGGAGTTCTCTTGCCACTTCTTCCTAGAATTCCAATTCCAAGCTTCTTTGGGGGCCATCATAACAGTGTGAATCAGAGAACCAGAGAATAGTAGATTTAGAAGGGGCCAGATGATCCAACTGCTTTCTCAATGCTGAACTCCAAGTTAAACCATGCCTCTCAGATGGCCCTCCAAGTTGCATCTTGAATGCCTCTAGCATGGGAAAGCCAACACCCTCCCTAGGTCATTGGTTCCATTCTCATAAAGCTCCAACAGTCAGGAAATGTTTCCTGACATCTAGCCATTATCTGGTTTTCAGTAATTCGATGCCATTATTCTGTGTCCTGCATCTTGAGATGACTGATCCTGTCCTTCCACTCTGAGATGGCCTTTCAAGTACTTGGAGAGTGCTATCATATCTCCCCTCACTCTTCAATTTTTGAGCTAAGCATGCCCAGTTCTTTCCATGTAACCTTGCAAGGCTTTGTTTCCAATCCCCAGGTCATCCTTGTTGCCCTTCTCTGAACCCTTTCCAGATTGTCTGCATCTTTCTTAAATGATAGCTTGAGTACTTCAGATGAGGCCTAATGAGTGCTGAGTAAAGGAGAATGTCATGTGATTTGGAAGTGATACTTTTCTTAATGCAGCCTAAAATAGAATTTGCCTCTTGTTCTTCCACATAACATTGTTGCCTTATATTCAGCTTGTGATCTACAACAATTCCAAGATCCTTCTCACTTGCATGTTGAGCCAAATATTCCCCATCATGTAACAATTCATCTGGTTTCTTTTTCCTAGGTGTGGGACTTGGCATTTGTCCCTACTGAATTTCATTCAGTTGTTTTCAGCCCAGCAGTGCAACCTATCAAGCTCACCTTCTGGACTATTAGTTGTCCTACCCAGTTTTGTGTCATCTGAAAATCTGATAATCATTCCATGTACCCCCTTATCCAAATTGTTAATAGAAACGTTGAAGAGCCATGAGCCCAAGACTGAACCCAGCCATACTCAGTTGGTTATCTCTCCCCAGTTTGAGAAGGTCCAAAGGAGGTTACCAAATTTAAAAAATGAAATCAGATTAGTCTGGCAGTCCCAAGTAATGCCAACATCATGCCTCCTTGAAACATTGGCAATTTGCCTTTCAAAAGTCCTCATCTTCTCCTTGACTGGCTGGTTGGTAATAATCTCCAATACTATGTTCCTTTTATTCCTTGCTCCATTTAGATTAATCCAGATGCTCTCAATGGGACTACTAAACTCATCCTCCAGTATTTCTGGGCACAGATATCTATCTTTAACATGTAGTGTGACTCTGCCTCCCTTTCTGTTCTTCTGAAAAAAGCTAAATCCTCCAATTGTTGAATTCCTGTAATAGAAGACATCCCACCAAGGTTCAGTTATATCAATCAGGTCATATTCACCCTCCTGTATTAAGAGTTCAAGGTCATGCTGCTTGTTCCCCATACTCGGAGCATTAGTATTTAGACACTGAAGACCACATGCTTTATACTCCAGTTTCTTCCTACATTTTTTGGAAGACCACAATCAGGCACTGTTAGAGCTGTTTTCTCTGTTGTGAGTCTTTGTCAGCCTTTGCCTGTTAAGGCCCGGTGTGCTTCTCCCTCCCCTGTAAGATTCAGTTTAAAGCCCTCCTGATAAACCCCGATAAAGCCCTCTTCATGCTGTGGCCAAACACATTCCACCCAATCGTGTGATGTGCAACCCATCCCTTGCCAGCAGCCCCTCTTCCAGGAAGCACAGCCTCTAGTCCCAGATTCCAAATCTTTCACGTTGGCATGACCTTCATAGCTAGGCATTTGTTTGAGATATCTTTCTTTCCCTGCCGAATCCTTTTCAAAGACTGTGGAGGTTTTTGAAGAGAAAACTATCGAGGCCCCAAAATTCTTGACTTTCCTCTCTAAAGCTTCACATTCTGAAGTGAATTCTTCAAAGCTCAACTTGGCAGTGTCATATATAAGAAGGAAGGGATATCTGTCAGTGGGTTGTATGATCCTTGGCAATCTTTCACTGATATCACTAATCTGCCCTCTGGGAAGACATCATACCTGTTGAGTCCATGGGTCTTGCTGACATATGTGTGTTCCCATGCCATCTCTTCTTGTTCCTGCAAGCCTTGGTATCATCACTACTTGGTTGTCCTTTAGCCTCTTGTTCAGTATTGCATGGAATGACTTTGCATTTCTTCCACTGCAGGCTGCCCTCCAGTCTCATCCTCAAGTAACTGAAAGCAGTGCCATGGCTCCCCTGCTTCCACTGGTGCAGTGCCATTGAGTTCTTCTGCACTCGTCACCCTTTCCCAAGGAGTTTCCTCCCATCTTCCCTGCCCTCAGGATCCTCCTCCTCTGCCTCAGCTTGCTGCTGCACTTCTAGCTCCTGTCCTACTCCCAGCTGCTGCAGTTCCATTGCTCTCTCTAAAAACTCTTTCTTCATCTTAATGTGTTGGCCTGAGGGTGGACACGCACTGCTCTCACCTTTTCTTGTAAGAGGGCCACTAGCCTGCGCTTGTTGCACATGTAGGTCATGCTGACCTCAGGCAAGAAAACAAACATTGCACAGGCACTGCAGGTCTCCCTCACTGCATTCTTCTCAGTCCATTCTTCCTGTTGCCTTTTTAATATATGCACACACGCGCACACACACACACATGTATATATTCTGTATTCATTATCAGAAATTATCTGTTCAGTCATGGGTAAAAACATAAGAGGAAGGTATCTCCTATCTGGCGCACTGCATTCCAGTCCATGCATCTGCTGTAGGCATCCTGCCAACTGCACACTGACTTCTGATCATTTACAAGAGATGTAGGATCTTTAAAATATTCTAATTTTCACAGAAATATTCCAGTATAAATACAAACAGGCTCCATTTCACCTACCTGCTGCTTCATAAGAAACACTTGTTCATCTTCTGCTGCAAGCTCTTTGTCATGAACTAACTGAGGGGGAATAAAAGAATACAAAGCTTTCTTATGCACAGAAAATGGCAATCAACATTATAACAGATACCCTGCTAGTTTGACACAGGCATGGCTTCTGGGCCATCAAACACCCAATCCCATGGCCCCTTCAGTACCCTTACTAATCTAAACCCCCTCCAACTGCCTCTTCAAACAGACCCCATCCACCCCATTGGCTAGGGACAACCCAAAGAGGCTGCCAAGAACCTTATTTTCTACCTTGGTTCCTCCTCAAAAGATGAGTTGTTAAGAGAAACCAAAATGTAAGTGATCTTTGCTCACAAGAAGCAGGCAGGGCCACTAGATCACTCTCTTTGTGGCAAAATCTTCAGGTTTTTGGGGACATGATAACCCATGATTCTAGATGCTCAGGAAGGGGGAAGAGTGTGAACACTCCTTTTACAGGAACAATGAGGACTGACAGTGTGATAAGCAGGTGACAGCTCCTCTAATGTGCCACTTGGTCACTTTGAAGGGGTAGACATTAGCTGTTAAACCGGAGATCACTTTTCACAATCCTTTGAAAATAAAAGTAAGTATAAAAGCCATACAAAAGCGGAGCAGAGAGAGCATGGAAAGGAGAGACTATGGGGTTAGTGCCAGGAATTTTACTGTGCCACTTGGACATCAGTGGCAGTGATGTCCAAGGAAAAGCAGCAAGGGAAGAGAAAGGCAGTAAGGCGAGGAAAAACCAGCAAGTGAGAACTGATGTTGAACCATAGACTGGGGTTGAAACTTGGCTTCCTGTTGTCTGAAACCCTCTGCAATAACAAGCCATGCTTTTTTAACCAAGCAACTCATATTTCACAATTTGACCATGGGGTCTCCTCATGGGTTGTTTGTGGTTAAGAAACCATGGTTTGTCAATATGGGTGGTTTCAGACAGCATAATAACTCAACACTCAGCAAAAGCCCATGGTTCAATGACAACCTGCACTCAACACTTGAGTGTGAGTTATGCTATCTGAATCCACTGATAAGAATAATAGCTTATCATACTTACCCTGCTTCAGGATACAGAGTTCAGTATAATAGCCCACTAAGCAGCATAAAGTAACATATACTTCAAAGCTGTTGTACCTTTCTTACAGGTGGCTTGACAATGAAGTCTTCATATGAATCTTCTGGCTTTACTGTTGTCAAGTTTTCATGTAGAATTGCAATTTTCTTCTCGTTGTCCCAACCAGCAGGTCTAGAGAAATACAATTTGCATGAATACATCCTTTCTCAGGTATATCCACCACATTTGCCTTTTTTGCCACATTAGAAGAAAAAACAGAAAGCAACCCACCTGCCTAAGGAGGCTTAATGCTATTTTGGCTGACTGTGAAATGCAGGAAAGTAGAGAGAACCAACAACCAAACTGCTGAATGGCCTTACAGGTACTCATATATGCAGCAGCAAACCCCAGAACATTGCCAAGCATCCACTCAGCAGAAAACTGCAGTTCCCATCCCAACTTGGTACCCTCCAGATGTTTGGACTTCAATTCCTAACTGCCACAGCCAGCATGAACAATGTTTAGAAATGCTGGGAGTTGTAGTCTAAAATATCTGGAGGTCATTAGGTTGAAGAAGGATACAGTAGCCAATCCTGCCTATATAATGAAATGTTTGATAACAACTGGGCTAGCTTAAATAATGTATCTTAATGTAACATGCAAAGGTAGCTCACTTCTGCAAAGGTAATATAAGGAACTGAAACCTGCCACAAAATTATTGTCCCTTCCCTCAACCATCAATTATGATCAGCACATACTGGCACCAGCCTCTATATATGCCAACTATTTGAAGGTGCCATCTGAGGTGACGTGAATGAAACCTGGTCCCACTCAGGCAGCATGATTATCCTTGGACGACAAAGCTACGGCACACAGAAAGTCAGTGCTGGAGAAACACCAGTGTAACAACTCTTAGAAGTCATGGTATCAGCAATGAGGTGAAGCATTCAACTATTTGCAGAAGTAGCAAGAACTTCATTTGAGGTCTAACAACACTATGATTAAGCCAGGCATTTCCCGAGTACTTCCATTAAGTCACTGGAGACTGACTTCCATGTAAGTGGGTTAGGTTTACATTCTGCAAGTTTATTTATGCATCATATACAGCAGTGGCTCCTACCCTTCCATCCACCCCAAGCAAAATCTTATTTTCCACTTAAAGTGACTGACTTTCCTTATGCAAATATACAAGGAAACAGGGTCTCCTGCCTGGTTCTTCTACTTACATGAAAACTGCATCCTTTTCTACCACTAAGGCAGGTGTGGTAAAGTGAAAGCCATATGTTTTATGTACAATGTACTTATACAACAAATCAAGATTTTTTTCTTCCTTAACTGATGTATAAATCAAGGCTGCTCCATCTATTCATTTGATTAAGGAAAGCACTGAGTAGTTTTATGGTATTAAGATAAACTGAAATTGATCTGCTCAACATGAGTAACAAGCCAGTAGTCACGTTTTCCTAAAACAGCAGGATTTCCAGAAAATACATGAATCCAAGAATTGTAGTAGAATGTATTTAACATATAACTGTTTAAAATGAAATGAACAAGACATTTCAGTGTCCAATGAAAAAACATGAGAGGGGAGGCACTTTAACTAGGACATAGTTACCTAACACCTGAAAGTCAAAATTAAAGGTGGTGAACATGCAAAGTTTAAACATGACAGCAAGTCCTATGTGACCCACAGTATTCACTAAGACAACTATATATTATAAGCATATTAGTTTCATATTAGTGTTCACATAACGTGCTAATTACTGCAATGATTCACTAAATGTACTTACAGCACAATGCCTTTTGAAAATAAGTTGCACTGAGTTCACTGTGCATGCGGACAGCACACTGACCTAAACATGGATGTACTTCTGAATCAACAGACACACTGTTAGTTAAACATATAATAAATCAAGATCTAGTTGATTTATCATTTATTTAAGGGCTGCTGGAATTTTCATAGACCAATATTAGAAAAAGAAAATGCCTCCACTAATAGGACAAAGGGACGTTGTTTAAGCTTACGTATGTGGTACATTAGATGAAATACACTTGGAACACGGAAATGTTCTCTAAATAACCCAACAATGGGTAATGAAACAGATTAGATAATTGGGATAAGATGATAATGTATTGAGTTCATGAAATAGCGTTCCTAAATATGCTTCTGTTTTCATTCCATTCCTCAAACTTAAGTAAGAAAAGGATACACTGTAGGCAGAATCTACGAATGTGCAACTGAATGAAATCAAAGTGCTCTTCTCTGTAGTCATGCTCCTTTTCTAATATGCTCATTGCATCACACTGAAAAAGAAATACAAAGATAAGTTATTAATTTTGAAAGCTTAAAGTACAAAATATGCACCAAATCTGTTGCATAAACAAATGTTCAAAGCAAACTTTGTTTAAGGCCCTTAAAATACTCCTTCACATATCAACAGGGTTGGACAGGCTAAGCATCATCTCTCAAAACAGTGCAAAAATATGCATCTGAGTTTACAGACATCTCTTCCTCCAAGATACTTCAGCTTTGAAGCAAACACAAAGGCAATTTAAGGTTAACTCCAATCTGTCATGCTTAAATGTTTTTGGCCTATGTGTCTTGTATGTAAAATTAAAAACTGAAATCTACTGTCCTCTGAATTTGACTTGGAAATATTTTACAGACTAGTAAAACAGCTTCCCAGAAATATGAATTTTAAACTATTTGAACAGCTCTTTACCAGTAAAATAGGTCCTATTCTATTTGCATGAAGCTCCAAGTGAACTTGGAATTTTGCCTTCTGGTTCAATTAATCTGTACTAAAACACCAAATGTCTGCCTAGTGTTGCTGGTCAAGCTCACCTTTGTACATACTACTATCACAGGGATCCCAAGGTTGTGAGTCAGTACATTATCACCAAGTGGTAGGATAACATTTTCATCATCTTGCCCTGATGGACCTCTTCTCTGTGGTGATCCCTGATAACCTTCTTCGGGTTCTACATATTCTTGAAAAGCTTTCACAACTATGGAAAAAATATTTTTAAACTAATTCAGTGCTTTTGAGTTATGAAAAAGGGACAACAGGAGTACAGATACAGAACTATAACTTAAAATCAGCTATTGAAAATAAGTTTGAATAAACATTCAGGCAAAATTTTTAAAGATAAGTTTGCACACTTAACTAGCTATCCCAGTTTATGTTCAAGGTGTATTTGGCTTTTTAAAATGTGCAGTCACATCTACCCACAGCTTTTTAAAAAAGTATTCTTTAAGGGGTTTGATTGAATATGCAACAATTATTTGTACATCTTTATTTGTTGGCTTGAAACTTCAGTCTTACAGTATTTTAGAGTTTCATGAATAACTTGATAGCAACATAGAAAGCAACCTTATACAGAGTCAGGCCACTGGTTGATCCAGCCCAGTACTGTTGATACTGACTGGCAGTAGCTCTCCAGGGTTACAGAAAAGAGTTTCTGTGGCTGTAAATGGAACCTAGGACCCTTTTCATAAAGAGTGCATTCTTGTCTGCCATGCTTCAACTCTTCCCCTAACAGGAAACTAAACACACAACACCCCTATGTAGCAGATCAACAGTGACTCTTCACACAGGCTGCACAAGCAGAAGGAAGCCAGCCATCTGGGATTCCTCGTGTTGCTGCTGCTCTCTCTCTCTCCCCTTCCATGATCCACAGTGAAGCCAAGCTCAGCAGAGAACAGCTGAAGTCATCAACAAGGCCGAGGCCTGGGCACACTTAAACAAGCAATGCTTACCATCTCCTGTTGTGGAAAACCAGGAAATGTGACCAGAAGCCTCACAGGGTGTACTACAAGGGACAGGCCTTTCTGTGCAGTGTGCATCCACTGCCCAGTGCTATCAGATATGCATGCTAAAGAAGGGACAGAGCCTGAGCCAAGAAAGCCATATCCTGCATAGGCCTGCAGCAATATATTGGACTTCAAGTACAAAACAGAATCCGAAGGACCCTACCCTGACTGCCACTGGATCAAATTTTTATAAACGATATTTCTAGGCGTGGCACGTTTCACACATCTAGAGCGCGCCTGCAACTTAGTTGCTCCCTCACTAAAATATCTCCCTGGCATTGCCACTCTTATATCATTAGATTAGTGTTTTCTTTAAACACACTAAGCAGCAAGGATATTAGCTTGCTCCTGGTCAGAAAACTGGCAGTTTACCATAACCCAGAGCAACCCAAAGTACTAGATGCAACATAAAACAGCAGCACTCGCTTAGGGTTAGGGTGCAGGCAAGCTTACTGTGCCTGCACTAATTACTCTTCCCCCTTCCCCACAAAAAGTCAGACAGTACTGGCAGACTTCAGCCACTGCAATCTATTTATGCGGATTTTAAAGTCAACCTAATCCTGCAGGCTGCACAGGTCTGGGTCATTTGTTTTCAGCTGCCATAAGCAACTACCCAAGAAAATACAGCTCTAGAGGAATACCGTGTCTGCTATATACTACAGGGAACGATAAGGCACCACACATCTCACAGCTCTGGACATGTACTCAAGACAGGAAACCTATACTGGATGCTTCATTTTAGAGCACATGGATACATGCACGTACGGTAGCATTTCCTACATTTGATGAAAATGATACCAGAAATTCTATGACCTCTGTACTCCCCTCCCCACTGGCATATGACCTGGCTTCTGATTCATTGGCTGCTTTCTACTATTTTTTACTGCTTTGTCAGCTGCTTTCTACCAACACTACTGCCAAAGAAGGTCTTTTCCAAAAGGAAGGGTTTTGAGATGGTCTGCATAGTACCGGTCTATATATCTTCCCCTCCAAACATGCTCAATTCTCAACTCTGCAATGTCCTCTCTCAGACAGTGGCTAAAGAAAAATACAGTCACTGGATGAAAATTTGCTCCTTTGCACATGTGAAGAGATACTACTGGAAAAAGTCTCCTGTTGACAATTGCAGCCTGAAAGGCCCAAGGCCTTTCCTTAGGGTTATTGTTTTCCTCATGCTACCCTAGGCTGTTGCTCTGGCAGTTTCAACAAATCCCTCTATGAGAAGAAAGAGCAGCACTGGCCATGCTCTGCCTCTTGCATTTTTCAACAGTTTACTTGGCAGCTTATATTTCAGCAGAGGTATGAGCACTACAATTGCTGCATAAAACATTGCAGGGAAACATAAGAATGGCCTTGCATTTTATTGAATTCCAAGAGTATGCATTTATTTTTTTATCACAATAGCCATAGACTCATGCCTATTTCATAAGATGCAGAATGATGTAATCCCAAACACAAACATACTTCATGGTAGAAGAAAGGGATCCTTTAATCCACTGAATTTGAGACTAGCTCTTCGTTTGATAAAGCCACATGACAAAGCTTTGAAAAGCATTTGGATATCTTTGGTTTTTTTCTCCAGCCATTTAAAAATGAGCAGAGTACAAGGCTGAAACCAGAGATGTGTGAAATGCCAGGAGATGCCTCCCAGATTGCACTTAGCAAAAAAGGAAATGTCCAAATATTTCAAACAAGACAACTGGAAAAACATCTATTTTGCAGTACTGTGGAGTTAATACATTTTCAGGAATGGTGAAAATGTTCTGCAATTACAATACTAAGTCCAAGAGTATACCATAGAAGAACAGGCAGATGTTATACCCTTTAACACTGCATAGCTAATACTGCAATACATGTGTTGCTCTTACATTGATCATATTTAAGTTACACTTGTTTCTGGGATTCAGCAAAATAAATCATCACTGCACAGGAAAGTGGCTATTTTCTATTTCACACTATGAGTGTTCTGCAAACTTTGGTTCACCTCCTACATCTTCCCTGAATTCCTCAAGTGTGGGAGACCCCACAACTGCCCTAGGTAATTGGTTCTATTATCATACTGCTCTAACAGCCAGGAATTTTTTTCAGGTATCCTGCCAGAATCTGGCTTCCTGTAAATTGAGCCCCACTTGTACCTCTCCCCAGTTTGAGAAGGTGCCACTGATGTGCACTTGCTGAATCCAATTCTATAGCCAATCATGGATCCACTTGATCGTTGTTCCATCTAGCCCACTTTGAGATAGCTTGCTAATCAGGAGATTATGGGACACTTGTCAAAAGTGTCATGGGACACTTGATCAAAAGCTTCGCTAAAGTCAAGGCAGATTATGTCCACAACATTCCAAGCATCTATCAGGGAGGTTACTCAATCAGAACATAAAATCAGATTCGGCTGGCAAGATGTGTTCTTGTGTCCAAGAGTCCCTAGGTCAGCCGGGGCATCTTCCTCTGACCTGCCCAGCTGGGTATCAGGAACCAGAGTGAAACTCCCCACTCACAGGGCTGATCGTAATCAGGCATTCCCTTTCAGTTGCAGCTCTCAGTTTCTTGGAAGAGACTGTTGCTGGGCTACTCCAGGCTCCTCACCTTTGCCCCTGCCTTTGTCCCCTCTTCCACTCCTACCCCATTGCCAAATTCCTGCTAGCATCTGGTATGCTGCACTGGTTAGGAGCATAGGACTGGAACTCTAGTCTCTGCTCAGCCACAGACCCAGCTGCATGACTTTGGGTCAGCCAGACTCTCAGCCCAACCTACCTCACAGTGTTGCTGTTGCAGGGATAGGTCTGAGAGCAAGAAGGGAATGATATAAACTGCTCTGAGTTCTTTTAAAAATAAAAAATAAATACAAAGAAGAGATAGAAATCTAATAGATAAATAAATACCTTAGATGTCCTAGACCAGCTGGGGCAGTTTCCTCTGCTCTGCTCAGCTAGGGCATTAACCATTATGCCACATTAGTTCTGTTAATCTGAACCCTATCCTATGTTATAAAAAAATCTGCATGCTTCTAAGTATGCAGAATAGAGATGTGATTTGTTTCAATGTGTTAGGATTCTTCAGTCTCTGAAATAGTAAACAAAACAACAGAACTGCACAATCTACCTAGAAAGAAGAGAGAGGAACACCAACAGAGAAGTGTCACTTGCCACTGCACTGCAAGTGTCACTGCCCAGTCTTTCCCATTGGGGTTAGAGTTGTACTCAGTAAACATGAGGTGGAAATATGGGCTGGGACCACTACCCGCACATCTCACATGCAGAAGTGCACGCGTGCAACTTTTTAATGTTATTAGATTTTTGGGTTTTGTCAAATAACTGCACAAGTAAATTTAGTACAGCAAAATACCTTTTACAATACAATTAATTTATTGTAAGGGAATGTCTCTATAAGATCACACTTGGGAAATATACTTTTGGTTTTCAAAGGATGAAACTAACTTCTAAAGACAAAGCAGTCTTGAGGGTGCTTAGGCCATCGTTGTCACCTGAGGCTCAGGTGGCTTCAGAGTGCCTTCTACCACCTTTGGCTGGTAGCTAAGCTATGTTCCTATCTGGACAGAGACAGCCTGCTCTCAGTGATCCATGCTCAGGTAATCTCTAAGATAGACTACTGCAATGTACTCTACATGGGGCCGCCCTTGAAGACTGATTGGAAGCTGCAGCTTGTGCTAAATGAGGCAGCCACATCAGTAACAGGGAACAGGCAGTCTGATTGGATAACACTAATTCTGGCTTACTTGCACTGGCTGCCTATATGCTTCCAAGCCCAATTCAAGGTGCTGGTTTTGACCTATAAAGCCCTACACGCTTAGGACCATGATTTTTGATGAAACACCTCTTCCAGCCTCTACCTAACTGGACACTACGATCAAGTTCTGGAGCCTTTCACTGATCCCCACCTCCAAGGGAGGCTCAGATAGTGGCAACAAGGAGACAAGCGTTTTCAGTAGTGGTCCCATTGAGACCCATCTGGTACCGACTTGATTATCTTTTTGGCATCACATAAAGACCACCATCTACTGCAGAGCATTTAAGTAGTTACTGGGGCCTGCTAGTTGTTAGATAGGGTCTAACTGGGTCTTTTTAACATATAATTTTTGTTTTCTGTTTTGAAATTTTGGCAACTTCGTATTGACAACTTTTTAATGATGTTTTAATTGGTATATTTTATATTGTTTTAAATATGTGGCTGCAACCTGCCAAGAGAGCTTTGGCTGCTGGGCAGTATAGGGAGGGAGGGAGGGAGGGCTCTAACAGATACAAACCAAGATATCTACAGGATAAGCTCAGTCAAGTCAACCTGTTTACAGAATACAACTGAGGCTGCCCAGTCTGAAGATATTCAGTGGTGCATACACAGCTCTACTTGCCAAAGTCCCCCGTGGAAGAAATAACAAGTCTGTAAAAACAGATTTTTTACAAATTACAAAAGAGTACAGGTATGAGAAAATTGGGCCTACTTTTAATGCCACAGAGATATTTATACCACCCAAGAGTTAAAGCTCTCTGCACGTTATTTATTTAACACGTTTGTATACCATCTTATAGTCACATGGCTATAGCAACAGACCCATTTCTTTAGATATTTCTCATTTTGTCATTGTTCCCAAACTCATTACTATTTATTTATTTACCTCTACCCCACTTTTTACTCTGATGCTGGGAACGACTGACAGCAAAAGGAGAAGGGGACGGCAGAGGATGAGGTGGCTAGATGGAGTCACTGGGGCAGTGAGGGTGAGCTTGGGTGGACTCCGAGGTGTGGTGGAGGACAGGAGAGCCTGAAGGAATGTTGTCCATGGGGTCATGATGGGTCGGGCATGACTTTGCGATTAAAAAACAAGCAACACTACTTTTCCTGCAAAGGGCTCACAGTGATTTATATAATCACCACACTTGATCTTAGCCAAAAGGCTGAGAAGCTATTTATGTAATCTTCCTTCTTTCCATTTTATCCTGACAACAACCCTATGAGGTAGGCTAGGCCAAGAGTCAGAGACTGGTTCCAAGTCACCCAGTGAGCTTCACGGCTGAGAGGGATGAGAATCCAGATCAATCAAGTCCTAGTTCAATACCCTAACCTAAGATGGCAAGTACTCCCCTCTGCAGTCTTGTAGGGGAAATACTTTAAGATGTCAATGGTGGAGGGGTTTGCCCGTGTGGTGCTACAGAGCTTGAAACAACTGAACATGTTATTTTTTTACTGTTGGTTTTATCAAGGAATATGGGCCAAGTATATTTTCCATCTGTTTAGAAGGTGACCAGGCAGATCTGATCCTGAGGTTGCCAGGAAGCTTCTTATAGGCACCAATGCCCAGCTCACAGTTGTTCTAGGTTTTTCGCAGCTGCCTCCAAGATCCACAAAGATATTGTATGCAATTGGTTTTAAAATTTTAATTAGAAATTGTAACAGGCAATTTTAATCAATTTGATATCATTTGTCTACTGTTATTTAGCCTTTTAATAGCTGGAATATTTTAGCCTATGGTTTTCCTTTGTAAATTGTTTTTTAATGGACAATCTGGTCACTGACCATAATAAACTGCTATGCTATGCTATGCCATAACCTAACCATTACAGCACACTAGCTCTGTTAATCTGAACTGTCACCTATGCTATTCCAAAATCTGCATACTTCCAAGTATAAAGAATAGAGATGTGGTTTAAATGTCTGAGGATACTAAATTCTTCTCCATTTGTTCTATGAACAAGCACAGAATACATGTCTGCAACCACACTGCCCACATAACTAGCGATACTGTTTTCAGTCATGCAACAAGTCTGTGAAGCCACGGCAAGTAACCAGGAGTCATGAGGATACAATGCTGGGTTAGACAGACCAATAGTCTGACTCAGTATAAGTAGTTATATATTTAAACACATTAGTAGCTTAGTGCTTTATTATCCTAGTTCCTGCAATGTGCTACTATATTTTACGCTGTGTTGATATACTTATTAGTTTTATATGGTTGGTTTTGTTGGTATCATCATGATAAAATGCCTAGAGAAATTTAGCTAGTGAGAGGTTTAATAAATATATATATATAGAAAAATAAATGTGCTATATGTGAGAAGTCCTTTCAAAAGCTGTGCAAAGATAGAAAACAGTCTTGCTTTACTTACATCGCTGTTCCATGTCTCTCATGTCTTCAGGGGGAATTTTCAGTTTATCAATATGCTCACGCAAGACACTTGCCCATTTTTGTAAGCATTCCATAATAGTCCATGGCCTAGACATATCTGCCACAAAGATTACAACAGTCTCCTGCAATGATTCTGCTGAAACAGCAAACTTCAGAAGACCTTTGTGGTATAAGTCCCCATCAAGAATCCAGACATTACAGCGAGTCTGATCTGAAAAGAGGAAGACATCTTCTCATTGAGACATCATTTACCAGATGCAATGTTATTTTTAATGTATATAGCACCGTCTATGTACTTAGCATTTTACAATGAATGAGAGAACAGTTCCCTACTCAAAGTGGGATTACAATCTCCCTTCACATTGCCATTCAGAAGGCAAACAAAGAAAGAAAATAAGGCAGTGATAATAGGGGAAATTATTTTAATATTACTGTTATATATACTTAATTTTTGAGAAAGTAGGGTGCTGTTCTCAAACTTGGTGCCCTCCTGGTGTACTGGACTGCAAATCCCATAATTCTCTGCCAGGATGAGGGTGATGGGAATTGCAGTGCAACATATCTGGAGGGCCCTAGGTTAAGAACTAGGGGCTATTCCAAAGGCTTCCTAGAAAAAGTAGGTTCAGAGATGCAGTTCCAGGGATAAAGGACAGCAAGGAAGAAAGGGAAAAGTCATCAGGGAACAGGAGGCCTTAGGATGGCCTAGAGTAGCGGAGTTGGATGAACAAAGATGACAGGTAGGGATGTACTATGATATTAGAGCAAAGGTATGTGGGGAAATAAATGGCCATGGAGAGTTTTGAAGGAATTATGGAAGGTTCTAGAGGGTTCACAAGCTCTCCCAAACTCGAGGCACTGAGGATACAGTTGGACCGCCATCTGTTAGGAATCCTTTAACTTGGGAGTCCAGCACTGTGCAGGGGGTTTGAGCTGATGTATTGGCCCCTTCCAACATTACTCTTCTATAATCTAAGAGTACACAGGAAACCAGTACAAGGATTTCAAGAAGGGGGTGTCACGTGACCAGAGCAAAATCAGAGATTAATTAATTTTAGCAGCAGAGCGTGTGACATTTGCAGACCATGGTAGCACAACAGAAATATAAAGAGAAGGAACTTCAGTAATCTATAGGAGAGATAACCAGGGTGTGGGTCCTAATTTACTAGGGGACAAAAATAAAATACTATATTTTTATACGGGAAGAACTGATGATTTCGCAATGGATAGAATATGGGAACTGAGGAAATAGAAAAGGGAAAAGTCAAAGAGGAAGGAAAGTCCACTTGGCAGAATAAAGTGGTATCAAGAGATGGCAGGTGGATAACTTATTACATTCCACATTAATTACTATCACCAGGGATTTAAAAAAAATCCTGAAGAGCTACAAGACCATATGGATGCACAGAGAACTGTTAAGGTTATTGCTGAATGATTTATATGTGTGTTGTCATAGGGCTTATGTATTTGTATAATTGTAAGAAACATCTCAGTCTGATTTGATAGGTGGAGGTTAGGACACAACTGAGAGCAAGACCTAAGTCTTTGGACAGGTGACTCCATTTAGTCCATTTAGTATTAATAGTGGAAGTCCTTCCAGATAGAAACTGGAAAGATATGAGTTAGTAATGAAGAAAATATGAATATGAACCTAGAGATGGCTTTACAAAAAACCTTAGAGATACTATGGGAACAAAAAAGGACATGTATTGGAAGCGGAAGGAAAGCCAGGCCCCAAAGGAAAAATACAGGCAGGAAACATGGAACTGTAGGTATGGTGTCAAGCAGGCTAAAGTTAGAATGAACTGAGCAAGGGATGGTAAAAGCAACAAAAAAGCTTCTTCAAATATGCCCAAAGTAAAAGACAGACGAAAGAAATGGGGATTCAACTACTCATTGTGAATGGCAAAATGATATCAGATGACAAAGAAGAGGCAGAAGCACTCAATCCCTCTTTGGCTCAGTCTTCTCCCAAAAGAAGATCTATGACATTCCTGATGAAGGAGAAGTACAAGCTGAAGGAGCAGGATGGCAGCTCAGGATTGACAGGCAAATGGTCAAGGATCATCTAATTGTTTTGAATGTGTTCATATCTCTAGGACCATCCTAGAGTTATAAAGGAACTAACGGAAAAACGCTTAGAACCACTGTCTGTTATCTTTGAGAAATCGTGGAGGGCAGAAGTGCCAGGTGACTGGATAAGGGCTAATGTTGTCCTATCTTCAAGAAAGGAAAAACAGAAGATCCTGGGAACTACAGACCAATTTGACATTAATCCTTGGGGAAATTCTGGAGCAGATTATCAAGTGGCTTTAGCAGACCTTTTGACCAAGTGTCCCATGATCTCCCGATTAGCAAGCTAGCTCAGAGTGGGCTAGATGGAACAACGATTAGGTGGATCCATGGTTGGCTACAAAATTGGACTCAACAAGTGCTCATCAATGGCACATTCTCAAACTGGGGAGAAGTACAAGTGGGGTACCACAGTGTTCAGTTCTGGGCCTAGAGCACTTCAACATTTTAATTAATGATTTAGATGAAAAAGCGCAGGGAACACTTATTAGAGTTGAAGATAATACAAAACTGGGTGGGATAGCTAATACCCTGGAAGAGAGAAAGAAGATTCAAGGTAATCTTGATAGGTTGGAGCACTGGGCTGAAAACAACAGAATGAAATTCAATAGGAACAAATGCTAAGTTCTGCACCTATGGAAAAGGAACCAAATGCATCGTTACAAGATGGCGAATACTTGGCTCAACAATACCGCAAGAAATGAGAAGCATTTTGGAATTGTTGTAGGTCACAAGCTGAATATGAGTCAACAATGTGATGTGGCTCCAAAAAGGGAAAAAGCTATTTTAGGCTGCATTAATAGTAGTATCACTTCCAAATCCCGTGAAGTACAATTCAGATGAGTACTGGTTAGCCCTCATTTTGGGTACTGTGTCCAGTTGTGGGCACCACAGTTTAAGAAAGATGCAGACAAGCTATAAAGTGTTCGAAGAAGGACAACAAGGATGATCCAGAGACTGGAAACAGTCCCCATGAGAAGAGATTGAATGGACTGGGCATGTTTAGTCTTCAGAAGAGAAGACTGAGGGAAGATAGGATAGCACCCTACAAGTACTTGAAAGGCTATCTCAGAGTGGAAGGACAGGATCAGTCATCCCAAGATGCAGGACACAGAATAATGGGCTCAAGTTACAGAAAGACAGATTCTGACTTAACGGCAGGAAATATTTCCTCCCTATTAGAGCCAACAATGGAACCAATTACCTAGGAAGAGTGTGGGCTCTCCTACACTAGAGGCATTCAGGATGCAACTGGAAAGCCATCTGAGAGAGATGGTTTAACCTGGGGTTCTGCACTGAGCAGGAGGTTAGACCCGATATTGTCGTATTTTATGATTCTATGAAAGGCACAAAAGCAGGAAGAGTGCAGAAACAGAATAGGAATCTCAGAAAAAGAAAGCCAAGATTATACAGAAGAAACTAATGAGGAAAGAATGAATTGACTAATAGTAAACAAACACTAGCAAAAACCAAAATGACAGAACAATGCATATAATTTCCAGGAGAACCACGCAGCTAGAGCATGGAAAACCCACCCAAGACATTTTATACATTCCCTTTATGAATCCCATTTGCATTTCAATGTATTAAATCAAATGGATGCAATTACAGTTGCAAATCCATAGACTTATAAACTATATAAACTTGTATAGTACTAAGCTTCACTGAACACTGAAACTTACTTCCATGCAAACATGCACAAGACAAGTCTGTAAAATGGCATTCATAACCAGCTGTTCTGTGAAAATGGACAAATCTATTCCTGCAGATACAGGAAATACTTTACCATCTCGGTCTTCATCATGGATGTTCAGGTACAAGTATTCCAGACCTCTTCCTTTCTTGCCATGCTCTGTTCCTTGTATTTTAGTCATTAGTGTTGTTTTGCCTGAACCATCATCACCTGCCAATAAGTTTGCAGGGCAGAAAAGAAACATCAGGAAGCCCACCTTTATAGGAAACACCAGTTGTGCCTTTCAGCTAAGAATTTAACTGATCCACTGTGGCTGGAAATGCCATATTTACTCTATCATTTTATAGGGCAGCAAAATAAAGCAGCAGCCCCATTATACAGCAGTCAGGTTTTCTAAATCTCTCTTTATACACACTTAGTTTACATTATCAAAACATTTACTAAGTTTTTTTTAATTTAACTTCAGAAAAGGTCACATTTGTAATTTTAATGTTTTGTCTCTCATTCAGCCAATAGCACCAAAAGCCTTATGTCAACATATTAAATTCAGGATACCCTGTCAGAGGAAAAGATACCAAGATCAACTTAAGCCCAGGTAATAATATAGGAAGAGACTTCAAACAGACTTTCTACCAAATTAAATGGCTCTGTATTTTTCATACATTTGCCTTTTGTTTTCATAAAAAAGTTAGCTCTCAAACTGACAGCTTCCCACTATGACTCAAGAATACTTACCAAAGACAAGTATATTTTTGCCTGCAGGTAATTTAGATCTGGATCGAGTAGACACCTCACTCAATATTGAGAACCTACATAAAACAAAATCTTTTGTTATTTTTACTAGCAAATAACAGCATGTAAGCAAGGCAACTGAAAGAGGTAGGGCTGTGAAAAGCCAAGAAAAAATATGGGATGGGAGACAACAATTTTTCATTTTTTTTTCAAGACATCCCTTTTCTAGACAGAGTGCCTTTCTATGCAGGAGTACATCTATAAATTGAGTAAGAAGTAGTATTTTATCTATTCCATTTCAATTATTTTAAGTAACTCTTTTATAACTTACTGTTTCTTATATTTTTATACCACTCAATAGTCAAAACTCTCTGGGCAGTTCACAACAATTTCACAACATATAGGATAACATAAAAATCTGTCTTACATGACAACCACCTTTAAAGCAAATGTATTAACACATTCATAATATCCAGTTGAAACTATTAACTTTGATCAACTTGAGTTAAAGCTTGCTTTTTATGTAAACAGGCCAGAGAGTGACTACTTGATTTTTGAAACCCAGCATTATATATGTAACTGACGGTAGTGTAAACTATATTAATTATGAAGGCCTTTTATTGGACCTTGGGACTGGAAAGTCATTTCAAGTGCTAGAACTCAGAAGACTCACCAGGAGCATCCACTGACTCCATCTAGGTGAAATATTTTATGCCCTGTATCTACCTGAGCTCCATATTGTGTTCAGCTCTTAAACTGAGAGGCTATGACTCTACTGATCACGGATATTTACTTCTAAATTCTGTTCTGCCCAATAATTACTAGTTTTGATTAAAAAGCTCTTGGACTCCAAGTAAGCCATCTTACTTGGTGTCCCTGACACTGATTTCACAGTTTAGAACCCACACCCATCTCTAAGCAGTTATTGTTCCACAGTGTGAAAGATCATGGGCAGGAAACCAGAAGTTCTGGATTATGTTCCTAGGTGGCCTAAAAGCTTTATTTAGTTTCAAACTAATAAATACATGTCTATAGTTACACCAATCAATTATTAGTCATGCTTCTTCAGGAAATATACACTCTAGAAAACTTTTATTAAAATCAGTAATTTAAGTTGGATGGATTTAAAATTAGTTCCTATGTTTAAGACAGATGTATTCAGCTAAGTGCACTCCAAATGTGTTAGGCAACAACACCCATCATAACCAACAATAGCTGTTGTTGTTGTTAGTCGTGAAGTCGTGTCCGACCCATCGCGACCACATGGACAACACTCCTCCAAGCCATCCTGTCCTCCACCATCTCCTGGAGTCTACCTAAGCTCACACCAACTGCCTCAGTGACTCCATCTAGCCACCTCATCCTCTGCCGTCCCCTTCTTCTTTTGCTATCTATTGTTCCCAGCATTAGACTCTTCTCCAGGGAGTCCTTCCTTCTCATTAGGTGGCCAAAGTATTTGAGTTTCATCTTCAGAATCTGGCCTTCTAAAGAGCTGTCAGGGTTGATCTCCTCTCGGACTGACCAGTTTGATCATCTTGCAGTCCAAGGGACTCACAGGAGTCTCCGCCAGCACCACAATTCAAAGGCCTCAATTCTTCAGCGCTCAGCTTTCCTTATAGTCCAGCTTTCACAGCAATACACTGCAACTGGGAAAACCGTAGCCTTGACTATACGCACTTTTGTCAGCAGGGTGATGGCTCTACTTTTTAGTATGCTGTCTAGATTTGCCATAGCTTTCCTCCCCAGGAGCAAGCGTCTTTTAATTTCTTGGCTGCAGTCCCCATCTGCGGTGATCTTGGAGCCCAGGAAGATAAAATCTGTCACTACCTCCATTTCTTCCCCATCTATTTGCCAGGAAGTGAGAGGACCCGATGCCATGATCTTCGTTTTCTTAATGTTGAGTTTCAAGCCAACTTTTGCGCTCTCCTCCTTCACCTGCATCAAGAGGCTGTTTAGTTCCTCTTCATTTTCTGCCATTAGAGTAGTATCATCTGCATATCTAAGGTTGTTATTTCTCCCAGCAATCTTAATTCCAACTGGTGATTCATCTAGCCCCACCTTTCTCATGATGTGCTCTCAACAGCTGTAGTCCAACCTATCTGGAGTGCCCCAAATTTGGGAAGGCTGGTTTAGAAAAACTACCAGCGCTGAATCTAGAAATACCAAGTTCAGACACATTGGGTGGGTATGTTTTGAAAGACTTTCCTTGCTTATGAAGCACAGCAATGGCATTTAGTGACAAGGTCATTTTTGGAAACCTAATCTTTCATGAAATTCTGTTCCTCTGAGAACTGATGTGTTCACTGCTGACTGTCTAACATTATTGTTTTGCATTGCTTAGTTCAAATGGTAGCGGCATATGTTTAAGCCCATTAGGACACAATCCTATGCATCAATTCCAGCAAGCCTCAGCCAGCAGGGAGGCTTTTTTCTGTCTAGACAGGCTTAGAATTGCATCCTTGGTCTGCTGCTCTGCCCTGATGGGCATTTTGCTTCATAGCTGAAGTGAATAATTAGAAACCAGAAGAGATACACAATATACTTTCAGGGTTCATATCATATACATAAATGTAAGTAAACGCTCTGCTTTTGTAGAGTTTAACCATATCTTCAAGAAAAGTAGGACTATGCAATATCATCTGAAAGTTATATTCTCAATGTGCTTTATTTCTAGCAATGCGTCAGCAAATCAGCCTCCACTAGAATGCAAACAGAGACACTCATGGGTAAGAAATGCTGAAATCCCTAACCATGTAAATTTCATTAGTAAGGTGTATATTAACTCATTTTTTACCCACTCTTAAATTCCACTGATCAATTTTGTTCAAATTCCACATCTCCTTCTCAATGACAGAAACAGAGCTACATAGCCATTTTAAGCTATATCACCATGCTTCACCAAATTCTTATGCAAAACATCTACAATTTCTTTAGCTAAAGAACATAAACACAAGTCTAGGAAAAGGTAGCAATACACACAAGCTACTTAGATTCCATGTAAATTACTGAAGAGGCTTAATCATATAGGCTGAATCCAACTGGCATCTACACTCCTGCTGATTACTGCTGGTGCTGGATCCCACTGACTACATTCCACAAGCGGGACCCACTGTTTCTGTAAGGGAGATTTAGTACTTCTTAGGAAAAGCCAAGAATTCTGTGGATATGCTCATTCCTAGAAGGAGGCAGATCAGAGAGCTCCTCTATACAAGCTCTTGCTCTGCTCATTTCAAAATGTTACATCACTTTCGCACAAATAGTAGGACCCTCTTGAGTAACGGAATTTGTGGGGTGTAAGAGAATGGTGGTGGCATAAGCACCCTTTCAGTTTTTGCTCTTCACTTGTATTGATAAGCTATATGCTTCCTCTCCGAAGACAGTGAAAGGAGTTGACAGCACCTCACACAGAGATATCAGGTACTGCTTTCAACCCTTCCCCGGTGCAAGAGGTATCACTAAAAAAGATAAAGCTCCAATGGTCACGGCACATCTCCAATATTGTAAATAGCCTCATCATCACAGTATAATTCACAAGAAGAGTTATAATCAATTCCCCTAAAGGCTTTATGATGAGAATACCACTGGAATATAGACTAAGTGACTACCAGAGATGAGCAGAAATTTCTGTACTTCAGAATGGTCAATCCTACAAATCAATTCTGTAGGAACCCATAAAGGAAGAGATTGGATACAAAAATTGCTGCAGTATCTGAAAAATGAACTCAGAACATTTTTATGGATATGCTCATCTTACTAAGCTACTTCTCAGTGATGGTAAAACTTCTGAAAACTATTCACAAAAGTTTTTGTTTCTCTTCCGTAATAGTTGGATTTAACATCTGTATCCTGCTTTTCTTTTAGAAAAATCAACAAAGAGGTTTAAAATTTTATTAAAAAGCAAGTATCATACTAGATCTCTTGAAGTAAAATTGGGATGCCAGTAGTAAGACACTTCAAAGTTTAGTCAGCTATATTACCCTAGGGTCACACCATGATCTGCCCATGAATAACAATGTTCTACTCATTTTAAAGACAGAAGTCTTGCTAGAGGAGATGTTGTAACTATATCCAGATAGTACTGCAGAAGCAGAAAAAACCAGAACTACGATAAAAGTGAATATGCCTTTATCCACTTCTCTGAACAACTATTATCTGAACACTTGAGCAGTCAGCCCAACTTATACACAAATAAGCTGCAGAGACAAATGATAGCAAGCAGGGATCAGGTTTCTGGTGCATTCATGCTGACAACACTACTTCTCCAGCTAACTGCCTAGAAATGCAGTGTCTGTCATTTTGTCTCCTTTCTTTTCCTAATAACTGTGGTTACCGGGTAAAATAAGATTAGGATTGCCAGTACCTCATTTTGAAAAAAGAGAATGCTTTGCAGAAGCAAGAGGATGCACTTCGTCCTGTTGCTGGGCCTCGTTTGGGGGAGGCTTTTGCTCCCTAACGCTTCAATGAAAAGCAAAGAAATGCTCCTTCTTGATATAGATGCTCCGAACCCTAAATGCAGCTCCGTGTCCACAGAGCATTAAAACAAATTTGCAAACGGAGAAAGCAACAGGAAGAGAGAACCAATTCCTTCAACCGCCCCAGTCTTCTCCTGTGGCTCAAATGCAGAAGGCTCCCCTCCCAAAACCAGCGAATGACAGGCCCGTTCTCCTGTCGAAAGGTTATATAGGAATCACACATTAAGTGCTGTAAGCGGAGGTGTCAAAGAGTTTGTACCCCACAGAGCGAGCTCATCCCTGACAATAGCTGCCACAGTATAATCGAATCCCCATCAAGAAGATGCAGCACCCACCCACCTCCCAACTAAGGCCGCCAGCGGCAGCCGGGAGCCACTGCCTGCGCCGAGCCCAGCCTAACCCGGTTCCTCACCAGAGGCTCTGTCCTTCCTCCTCCTCGCTGGGGAAGTCGCCCGCCGCAGGCCCGTCCGGCCCCAACAGCTTCTTCTCCGCCAGCACCGGCGCCATCTTGCCAACGGCAGCCACCACAAAGAGTGACCTCATCCGCCCAGGCCCCGCCGCGAGGACTCCGTCTGGCCGCGCGCCCGCGCAAGGACCTCGCGCGCCCCGGGCTCCGCCTGGGCGCCGTCGCGCTCTCGGCCGCCGCGGCCCCGCGCCGCGCGCTTACTTGCATTTTGCGCCTTCCCTCACAGGCATGTCAGTGTCCAAGACGCTGTCACAAGGCGAAGTTTCGGTACGGCAAGAGGCTAAGTGGGTTGTTTTACTCAGGCAGCGCTGCAGACATCTAAGGTGGCAGCATCCTATTCTGGACGATGAGTTCAAGATTTTAGGGGCCGCCGCCCAGTGTTTCTTTGAGACGCAGGGACTCCTATTGTTGATGAGAAGTATTGCAGTCTCTTGGCTACGCCCAAGGGATCGCGGGCAGTTTTGGGGGCAAAATCGCATGAGATTTTATACATAGTTGCGAGTTTAGCATTCACTCTTATCAGAGTAGGATACAGGAGGCAGTATTGTCGTAAATAAGAGATTTCATAGGATATAATGGGAAAACTACGTCTTTTAGAGGAGTGTCTTTTAACAATACCACCAGATAGAAACTCGAATTCTTCAAAGAATCTGATGCTTCAAAGTTATCACATTATAAGCATCATGGTTTTCAGATTCCCCCTTTTGATTTGTTCTGTCAAGTTGTCTTCAACTTATGAATCACAGAAAAGTTGGAAGGGGCAATGAAGGCCATTGAGTCCAACCCCCTGCTGTTAACTCATGACATCTGGTACATGATACTCTCCTGGATGTGTGTGTGATTTGGCTGTAATAAAGTAGAAGTGTTGCAATGTTGTGTTGTAGAGCCCTGATTGTGCCAGTGAATACCAGTGGCGGAGCAGCAATAGCAGAAAAGGACTGTCACCTTCATTATGCTCAGGGGCTTTTCAAATGCTATCGTGGAGATGCCAGATCTAGCAAGAATCGTGCATCTATAACTGGAAGTAAGCACGGAAATTGCAATTATGGAATAAAAGTGCTGCTTGAATGGGTCCTAATTATAGATTATTAATAGAGGTGATACATGATACATGATCAATCCTCCTGAGAATAGATAGTAGGTATGTTTCAGTAATACAGCAAAACTTCTTCAGACCCAACAGCCTTAATCTATTGTGAAAGGACTCAAAAATAGTTTTTTCCAAGAGAAAATCCCTTTGCAAGGAAAAGGAAAAAAAAGTGCATATATATCATGTATGAGGTGCAGCACTAAAATTCATTTAACCATTGACAAACACACTGACTACACATATACTCTGGTGAAAGATGTGACAAAATAATTACACCACACATTTCCCCCTGCATTAAGGTTATCTCTAATATGAAAAACATATATTACATAGTCTAGAAGTACACAAATTTATGTTCACCTGAAGAATGAACCCTTGAAAAATGAAGCTAAAAGAATTTGAGAAAACAGTTATAACTTACATGCTTTGTTGGATGAATATACAGCACATACTGCATATTTAAAATACAATACATTTGAGCAGGAACATTTGTTCATCCTCTTGCATAATATTTTTATTTTTCCAATGGTTTCATCCAAAAGAAAGTCAAAACAACGGAAGTTAAAGCAAATACCATCTTGTTAACTTTCTTAAAGAAAAGTATACTACTACTGTTATTAAAATTTGTAATAGCACTGTGAAAATACCACTCGAAATGTTGCTGATTGAAGGAACTTATGGCACATAAAATCTTCAGAAGAAAAGTATTCTGTTTAGATAATACTGGCACTATACATTTTGAACAAAATTTCATTGATTTTCATCCAGTTTCATTGATGTCATACTTTTTGTTCTTTCTTCTGTAAGACAGAAAGTGCAAAATCAAGACAAATTTCTGTGCACTAGCACACTGAAATATTCTATCAAGCTATGGTTTCAAGTACAACTGCAGAGGTAGGAACACAGGGTCCAACACTCCTGATTTGTTTCCCACTGTTCTAACCCTTCTTCTAGCCATAGTAACGTAAGTTTGCCTATCAGCTTACCTTCAAGCTTTCAGGTCCTATTGTTCAGTGCTATACATTATCTGTGTTTTGATCATGGATGAGGGGACAGACCTGGCAAATTTACCAAAGAACACACTGGGCAGACTGGATCTTTCAACTGCATTCATCAGAGTTCTGGTGCAGCATCCACACAGGTTTGAAGGTCAAGTGCTAAGGGTACTGTAGCCTACAGGTTTCATATGTTTTCCAGGATCCTTATCCAGTCAAGCCTGAGATTTGAGGGTTATGAATCTTGTGTTGGGCAGTAGAAACAGATTAGGGAGCATGCTGGTGTAGTCACCACCCTTCCTAAGAAGTACCTCACTTTTGCTAACACAGATGTTTTCTAACTTGGAGACTGCCAGGCTTATTATTCTCAGGGACATCAACATTTCTGCCAAAGCCCCTCAAACTAGGGTGTTTCAAACACTTTCCCAAAATGTCATCAGCCCAAGACATGACAGCAGTCATGTCCTTGACTTGGTGTGCTGATTGAAGTAGATAGATAGCTATTTTGATCTGGAGAATTATTTTAAAGTTTCCTTGTCACTATCAAATCACCTCCTGCTAGGTTTAGGCTTGCAGGAGTCATGATCAAACCATTAGGATGGCCTGCTCTCAAATGCTTATGGACTGGAACTGCATTCGAAGATGGAACAGAAGTAAGTGCAGTTCCTTAAGCACTGGTAGGATATAATCCTAGAGTTCAGTCCTGATTAGTAGCCTAGTGGTCGTATTCTAAACTTACCAGTTTCTTGGCAGTCTTCAACTACATTTCAGTTGTTGGTGGTGTTGTTAGTCGCGAAGTCATGTCCGACCCATCGCGACCCCATGGACAACACTCCTCCAGGCCATCCTGTCCTCCACCATCTCCTGGAGTCCACTTAAGCTCACACCAACTGCCTCAGTGACTCCATCTAGCCACCTCATCCTCTGCCGTCCCCTTCTTCTTTTGCCATCTATTGTTCCCAGCATTAGACTCTTCTCCAGGGAGTCCTTCCTTCTCATTAGGTGGCCAAAGTATTTGAGTTTCATCTTCAGGATCTGGCCTTCTAAAGAGCTGTCAGGGTTGATCTCCTCTAGGACTGACCGGTTTGATCGCATTGCGGTCCAAGGGACTCGCAGGAGTCTCCTCCAGCACCACAGTTCAAAGGCCTCAATCCTTTTGCACTCAGCCTTCCTTATGGTCCAGCTTTCACAGCCATACACTGCAACTGGGAAAACCATAGCCTTGACTATATGCACATTTGTTGGCAGGGTGATGTCTCTGCTTTTTAGTATGCTCTAGATTTGCCATAGCTTTCCTCCCCAGGAGCAAGCGTCTTTTAATTTCTTGGCTGCAGTCACCATCTGCGGTGATCTTGGAGCCCAGGAAGATAAAATCTGTCACTACCTCCATTTCTTCCCCATCTATTTGCCAGGAAGTGAGAGGACCCGATGCCATGATCTTCATTTTCTTAATGTTGAGTTTCAAGCTAACTTTTGCGCTCTCCTCCTTCACCCGCATCAAGAGGCTGTTTAGTTCCTCTTCACTTTCTGCCATGAGAGTGGTATCATCTGCATATCTTAGGTTGTTGTTATTTCTCCCAGCAATCTTAATTCCAACTGCTGATTCATTTAGCTCCGCCTTTCTCATGATGTGCTCTGCATATAAGTTAAATAGGCAGGGCAACAGTATACAGCCTTGCCGAACTCCTTTCTCAATTTTGAACCAATCAGTGGTTCCGTGCCCAGTTCTCACTGTTGCTTCTTGATCCGCATACAGGTTTCTCAAGAGACAAATAAGATAGTCTGGTACTCCCATCTCTTTAAGAACTTGCCACAATTTGTTGTGATCCACACAATCAAAGGCTTTAGCATAGTCAATGAAGCAGAAGTAGATGTTTTTCTGGAACTCCCTAGCTTTCTCCATGATCCAGCGTATGTTGGTAATTTGATCTCTAGTTCCTCTCCCTCTTTGAAATTCTGCCTGTATTTCTGGTAGTTCTTGGTCCACATACTGCTGGAGCCTAGCTTGTAGGATTTTGAGCATAACTTTGCTAGCATGTGAAATGAGTGCAATGATGCAGTAGTTTGAACATTCTTTGGCACTGCCCTTCTTTGGGATCGGAATGTAAACTGACCTTTTCCAATCCTGTGGCCACTCTTGAGTTTTCCAAATTTGCTGGCATATTGAGTGTAGCACTTTTACTGCATCGTCTTTTAGGATTTTGAATAGCTCAGCTGGAATACTGTAGCCTCCACTAGCTTTGTTGTTGCTCAGACTTCCTAAGGCCCATTTGACTTCACATTCCAGGATGTCTGGCTCAAGGTCAGTGACCACCCCATCGTGGTTATCAGGGACGTTAAGCTCTTTCTTGTATAGTTCTTCTGTGTAATCTTGCCATCTCTTCTTAATCTCTACCTCTGTTAGGTCCCTGCCATTTTGGTCCTTTATCATGCCCATCTTTGCATGAAACATTCCCTTCATATCTCCAATTTTCTTGAAGAGATCTCTGGTCCTCCCTATTGTTTTCTTCTATTTCTTTGCACTGTTCATTTAAGAAGGCATTCTTATCTCTTCTAGTTATTCTCTGGAATTCTGCATTCAATTGTTTGTATCTTTCTCTTTCTCCCTTGCCTTTCGCTTCCCTTCCTTCCTCAGCTATTTGTAAAGCTTCCTCAGACAGCCATTTTGCTTTCTTGCATTTCTTTTTCTTTGGGATGGCTTTAGTTGCTGCCTCTTGTACAATGTTGCGAACCTCCGCCCATAGTTCTTCAGGCACTCTGTCTATCAGATCTAATTCCTTAAATCTATTTGTCACCTCTACTGTATATTCATCAGGGATATGATTTAGATCATACCTGAGTGGCCTAGTGCTTTTCCCTACTTTCTTCAACTTAAGCCTAAATTTTGCAACCAGAAGCTCATGATCTGAGCCACAGTCAGCTCCTGGTCTAGTTTTTACTGACTGTATAGAGCTTCTCCATCTTTGGCTGCAGAGCACATAATCAATCTGATTTCTGTGTTGACCGTCTGGTGATGTCCATGTGTAGAGTCGTCTCTTGGGTTGTTGGAAAAAAGTGTTTGCTATGACCACTGTATTCTCTTGCAGCATCGGACTCTCCTTTCACCACCAGATACAGCAGCAACTGCGTGTCCTTTTGGCTTTGACCCAGTCGCTTCATTCTTTCTGGCGCTACTAGTACTAGCCCTCTGCTCTTCCCTTCGTCATGACAAGGCAGTGATCCATGAAGGAGACATTTCAGTAGTCAGTCCTAAAATCAAACTGGCCATGGTAGTCCATACCCTGATATCTCAGTCCAGGAAAGACTACCTCTTCTTTAAGTCTCAGCTGTTGAAACGTGCTCTTGTGCCACACAGGCACAAGCTCTTAAGCCTCCAAGTGACAAAGCTGGATCTAGGAGCATCCCTAGACAGTGAACTTGATAATTTAGGAAGAGTGCAGTTGTTGTGATCTGATAAACCACCTATTGCACCTCCCATCTTGTTATTATTCAGTGTATGTACCCACATCACTGATTCTATATACCAGTTCAGCACAATAACTGAATCTGATGTAAAAGATGGATAGAATTAAGGGTATGTAATTGACAGATCACCGTAATATTATGGTGTGCTTTTTTAAAGTGGCCTGGCAAACACATCTTTCAAGTAGCTGGCATTGCCCTTTCTCACAATGAGGCATTAATTACCTGTGAAACTCAGCCAGTCAGTTTCCCACTGCCTATTATGCTCAGCCACAAAGGACAAGGGTCAAGAAGACATGTGATGGCCTGGAACCATCAACTTTTCAAGCCATAATAACTGAATATTCTCTGGCAAAACAGTACCATCAACTGAAATGTAGAACTTGTAACCTAAATTGCATGAGTTCCAACTGCTGAAATGCTGCACTGCACTGTACCTTCTCTCTAGGGTACCAGAGGAGTGCAAGGAAAAGTTTTCTGCTTCAACTCAAAGTTATCAGAAAACAGCTTTCATTTTTCCTTGCTATGCATATGGGATCTTCTCTTCTCCCTCAATATACCATAAATGTTCATCTTCAATGGACAGAGATTATTCAGACCCACTTAAAGGTTGTGCTACTGCTGCATATGGAACAGAAAGTGTCTCTGATGCTCTGAAGAAACAATTCAAAATAATTTGAGTCCTGGAAATGACCTTCAGTCTCATCTCCTTTATATGTTCTTTAGTCTTACTATTCCTATACTTTTATAATTTAATGTAATAGATATTCATGGTTTCCTGGATCAAAAATGTGTGGATTTTTTTGCCCTCAGTTGCATTATATCCTGAAACTATGAGAATATCTTCCCACCAAATGGGGACAAGCATAATCATTTTCATAACCCCTAACCACACCCACTAAAGAATATTCACAGTAAGTCCTCTTTCTTTCTTTCTTTCTTTCTTTCTTTCTTTCTTTCTTTCTAGCTTGAACATATAGTAGACTACTACAAAATAAATCTGAAATAACAATACCTGTAATTTGCTGTATTTCTTGGCAAGATCTACATTTGTTCGCCCCTTCTGAAATGGATAAGCCCATAAAATTGAATTCCAGTGATGGCCCATTTTCTTAACACCATCCAAAAGATACCTTATTTCTTCTGATGTAAAATCTTTCCTGATTCTCCGTCGTTTTTTTAAAACTGTCACAGGAATATCTGACTGATGAATTTCAGAATTCTGCAGTAATAATAAAAACTGAGAATTTCATTCCTACCTTTGGGAAAGGCCCATAGCTCATGAGTTCATGCTTTGCATGTTTAAGGTGCCATGTTCAGTACCAGCCACAACAGATGTATTTTTTGCAGTGGGGCAAACAACAGCTTCAGTAAGAGCAATTTAAATTACAAAAAAAGGATTAAAATTTCCTAGTACCTCTTGCCTCTGTTCTGAAGAAATTCTAATGAGGGTTTTTTTAGAAAATGCTGAACTGAGAAATCACTAAAAGTTATCTAGTTTTACTAAATTCAAGTAAAATAAACAATTTGTCCCAATTTATCAGAGATATATTATATCCTGTGTGCATCTCCCACCATTCAACTTCATTGGATAATCCCAGGTTCTAGTTTGATAAAAAATAAGAGAAAAACTTCCCCATGTTCACTTTCTCCACACTATGTCATAGTTTGTGCATCTCTATCATGTCTCCTCATTCTCACTTCTTTCCAAAGCTAGACAATCCCAGTCATCATAACCTTTTTAAGAACAAGCATATGAACTACAATAATTATAGTCCAAACCTACATTATAAGTTGCCTTTTTATAAAGATGTTACTTGATATGGCTATGGCTAGCCAATCTTACACCACTTATAAATGTTATTTATCAATGTGCCACAAATCTCCATGTAGGGGCTAGAGTTCTTTGTAGAAAGTGTTCTCTTACATATTAAAATCCATACCCAGATATTAAAATGCAAAGTTTTAGATGGCTGTACCTCATCTTCAAATGAATGAATAAGATTGTCACTCAGTTCCTGAACTTTAAGGTGGTGTTGCTTTGGGTATCCATTCCATTTTGACTGACGATATGCTGTTTGAAACAATGCAATATTTACTTCATTAAAATTACTAAAAACTACTGAACTGAGAACAGAACTAGAAGTTATGAGGGTAACACAGACTTTCCAACCTCTCATGTTTTTCGTATCGTAGTGTTAATTATCAGAAAGCTAGGACAAAATTGGTGGGCAGGCCTAACTATTATTTCTACTGTTGATTCTCCACTGCAAACATACCCTGAGCTCTTTTTTTAACTATTTCCCTCTGCCCTCATGGTTCAAACCCAGTAGAAACTTAGCTTCTACAAGGAAAAACTTAGTTTTCTAAAAAGCTATCATGATTACCATTATAATCTGGAAGAGTATTCCTGTTAGAGATGTTTGAGCTTTTTAGCTTCCTTTTATATTTCATTTCACTTTCTAGAATAACTCTGTGTTGGTCACATAGATACTGACAAGACTGCAAAATCTTGCTAATATTTCGGCTGTTTAAAGAAAGTCCTATTGTTTTACAACCTAAAAAGAGAAAGAATATTATAGAAACACCATGTTAAAATGTATGAAAAGTAGCATTTATTTGTGTAATATATTTATTTAATATATAAATGTAAGTTTAACTGTGTAATAAATTAGATTTATTATTTCACACTGAGACAAATAGGAATGTTCTGATCATTCCATGATTAAGCTCTGTAAACCCAGCAAATGCCTATTATGAAGTCTCCTATAAACCTAATATTGAACATGGTGAACATCTCCTCACTGGCCAGCAATGCAGAATTATGAGAAAATTATATGATTTCCCAGCCACATTTTTGAAAACACAATCAGTAGCTTTAAGATGCAGTTTAAAATATTGCATTAATTATTTTATTTATTTATATTTAATTTTTTTGTATCCTGCCCTCTACAGTGTCTCAGGGCGGTGATAACATAAGTAAATAAGAATCAGCATCACAATAATATCAAATCAATATTAAAACAGTATTAACTTTTAAAATACTGTGAAAATAAAAAAGTTTTGGCCTGGTGCTGAAATGAAAAAAGCATCAGCACCAGGCACACTTCTCTGGAGAGCCCATTCCATAGCCAGGGCACCACCACAGAGAAGGCCCTTCTCTAGTAGCCACTCTTCTGATCGCCTTCAAAAAGGGCTCCCGAAGAAGGACCTCCACTTCAGATCTTAGAAGCTGGGCAAGTGTATATGGAAGAAGGCACTCCTTCAAATATCCAGGTCCTAAGCCATTTAGGGCTTTGTATGTCACCATTAGCACCTTCAAGTGGGCCCAGACTTCAATTGGAAGCCAGTGCAGATGGTATTGGACCAGCATTATGTGTGTCTATCTGCCAGTCCCTGCTATCAACCTGGCTGCTCTGTTCTGACCCAACTGAAGTATCCAGACCATCTTCAAAGGCAGCCCTACGCAGAGCACATTAAAGTAGCCCAATTGTGAGGTGACCAGAGAATGGGTCACTGTTGCAAGGTTCTGCTCATCCAAGTAAGGGCGTAGTTGATGGATCAGCTGAAGGTGAAGGAAAGCGCTCCTTGCCACAGAAAACACCTGGAACTCCAAGAATAACTCTGGATCAAGGAGCACTCCCAGAGTACACAACCTGTCCCTTAGAGGGAGTGCAACCCCATCCAGAACAGGGCAAGAATCACTTAGCTGGAGGGCTGAAACACCTACTAACAGGGCCTCTGTCTTCTCTGGATTAAGTCTCAGTTTATTGGCCCTCATCCAGCCCATCACTCCAACTAGACACCAGTTAAGGACATCCACTGCCTCACTTGGATCAGATGTAAAAGAGAGGTAGAGCTGGGTGTTATCAGCATATTGATGACTCCTCAGCCCAAACCCCCGGATGACCTCTCCCAGTGGTTTTATGTAGATGTTAAACAGCACAGTATTGAAAGCCACTGAAAGGTCCAGGAGAACCAAGAGGGATGTACTTCCCCTGTCCCTCTTCCTGCACAGGTCATCATACAGGGCAACCAAGGCAGTTTCATTCCCATAGCCAGGTCTGAATCCTAATTAGTATATTAGAAAAAGTTTTTTGAAGATACAAAAATAATAAATATTGATTAGTCTCAATAGAGATGTTATAATTCATGTTACAATCCTATTCACATTTACTTTGCACTTACTTTTGAATAGAATTGTCACGCTACATAAACAAAAAAAGTCACCTGAGCATCTTAACTCTGATAGTTTAGGCTCTGTAGAAGTACTCAAAGTATGAGGCATCTCCTTGCTTTTTATGCTTGAACACAGGAACTCTGTGAAAGAGAATACTTCGATTAATGTAAAATATATTATTATAAATTCAGATGAATTTTATATACTTTAATATTGTGAATATTCTTAAGTATATAGAGCCTGTAGTAATTCTTATGGCTCATCTAGTCTTAAATTTCAGATACAACAGGCTTATGTACTATATAAATTTAACATTAGAAAGTCTTATCTGACAATTACATTTGAAACAAATTTCCTGTCATATATAAGATGTATCAATACTATGTTTCACAAATGCAAATAATTCACACAGTTAAATTGGATATATAAGCACATTTAGGACACATTGAATATATTATACTATACAGGTAAGTGCCTATTTGCCTTCCATTTAAATTAAGCATATTATGGCTAATAATTCATCAATTAAGTTATATCTGAACTTAAACAATATTAACCTGCATCTTGTAGCTCACGAATTGTGCTTTTAATCACAAAATCTGGTTGCTTAAACAAGAATTCACTGAAAGGGTGAAAAAAAATACTTAAAAACCCAAATAAAATGTATCTCTTAATCTTGTTTATTCATGGCTTACATCCAATATAGTATGCATTCTAATGAAAAATGCTAGCAAAAGAAAAGGCATATTTTATGTTCACATAGAAACTTAGGAATATTTTTTTGTCTTGAGTAGTTTATTTAATACAATTTTCTTACCATCCTTTCAGAAGTATTCTCAGGGGTCTTACAGAGTTCCTATTTGTGAGAGTGCCAAGAAGCCATTAAGAAATTTGATAAATGCAAGGTAAATTATAATTTCAAAAGATTTGTTTAGGCAGCAAGTTTCCTTTCCACATATCCAGTGTGATTATTCAACCTTTTTTTAAAGGAGTACCTATCCTATTTGTAAACTGCTTTTTAAACTTTCTTCACTTTCAAAAGTTGTTTAGTTTACCACAGGGCATTAGAAACTGCTGTTGGAGAAAAGGGCAAGGCTTTAGCCCCCTTGGACACAGAGAACAGAATTTTTTGTTAGTGTCCTGCATTTAGGAATATATTAAGTTTCTACTAGTAGTTTGAACAAATACTTTTATTTTCTGCCTTAAATGTATCTAGATGATTTATATTTTATTAACTATTCATACAGGTGGGAATAACTTGAACATGGGAAGCCAACGGATGTAGCTCTCAAAGTTGGTTACACTGAATGGGTTCAGACCACACGATAACTCAGTTGATACATGGGTTATTGTGTGGTCTGAACCTAGCCAAGATAATAAACCACAGTGAACAAACCACAGTTCGCAACTCAACAAAAACCCGTTTCAAGAAACCATACTCAACCTTTGAGTGAATAAAGGTGTCTAAAGTGAACAATTGTCTAAAGTGAAACAATGCTCACTGGGACTTACAGGCACAACACATGCCATAGTACACCCCGTAACCACTACAGGAAGAGGCCTTCCCACTCCGTTCTCCTGAGTGCAGAGAGGCTGGACTATAGCTGACAGAGCAGGCATAGAACCTTTCTCTACTAAACAACCTTTACTTTGATACAGTAACATTTTCAAGCAAATTATATCTACCCCAACTGAGTTACGCTACACCTACTGTTGTCCCTAGGTATGGCCCCTACAAGATACACCATTGTTGTTGTTGTTAGTTGCGAAGTCATGTCCAACCCATCATGACCCCATGGACAACAGATACACCATTGCAGCCCCTTTAAAGAAGTATTCTGTCCACTCCATTTCCTTGAGGAGGAGCTACTCCATAACAGGGCAGGGAACTGTGGTCCTCACCCCACTAATCTCCCTTGGCTTCTAACTATATAGACTACAGAGTTATGTGCTGGTTAAAGAAATCTGTCCTAGTGGCTGAAGATTTTACTGCAGCCTTCAACCACACATATACATTAAAATATTGTGTTATAACTCTGAAGTACACAAACCTAGGGTCCCCTTACTGTGCCTGCTGAATTTTAGGTTTCTAGGTCTTAGCATGATGAAAGTGACAAATAAGCAAACACACATCATCCAGAATTACAACAGATAAAGCATACCAGAATACATTCATATCAGTGCAAGTACTGATAACTAGACCATAAAGTTAGGCTACTTTATCAGATATTTTGTGTTTTTACATAAATACCCAACTAAGTATTAACTGTTTGTACCTTATAAGGCTGGCAACAATAAGAAACTATGTTTATGTATATTTCAGTCAGCAAATAACAGATTCTGCTCTTAACATTCCATTAATACTATGTTTCCACAAATTCAGCTCAAAACAAACATTGATAAATACTTCAGAAGCACTGGAATGGTCTCTCAGACCAATTCTGTACTTCATGTAGCAAACCACTGCTGTTATAGTGGTTGTATCTCCCAGCAGACATGTGAAGTGCAGAATATTCCTATATCTATAAGCTCCTGTACAAACATATCTGAGAATTCTTACTGAGCAAAAGCTCCCTAGCAGGTGTACAGTGCTATATAAAGAGACAAAGATAGTTTCCATGATTTTAAGTTTCCTGCAGTTAACATCAGCAGTAATTGTGTCAGCCATGTCCTCAATCTAAAACTTTCCAAAATTACTTATATTATTAAAATTATTAAAATTTTAATAATTACACTTATTTGTGTTAGCTTTGAAGCATACATTTTATAATCTCCACTTCTTTGCATTTATATCTTGGAATATGCACAGCTTCCTTGACTTTGACAAGATAATTATTAAATATATGTCTATCCAGTAAAAACATTGCTTACTAATTTGAGCGCTGAATCCACACTTAGCCAAGCTTTGAGAAGATGCATTTATAAATCAGTGAGACCTAATTTAGTCATTAGTAACTTAAACCCCATAGGTTTCAGTTGGTCTCCTCTAAACACTAGTAAGACTAGATCCAGCACAATACTACTGAAACCTATCCTGAAAATCTGATTTATACATATGATTAAAAAGTAGCAATATTACTTTGTTTGTGGAATCATAGATATAGTACCTGGTTTGAACATCAGATTTACTAGAACCACAAATAGAGCTTTTATTTCTAATATGGACTTGATTTATGTGGTCTGTTCTCGTTTTATCAGCTGAATGAAAAAAGCTGTGTTCACGTTGACTGTCTGAAGCATCTGTTAGATTCTTGGCAGGATTTAATTGTTTATTCTTGGAGAAACCATTTACAAATTCAGAAATGATCAACTTATCGGACATAGAATTTGGTAGTAGCTGTTTCATTTTTCTATATGTCATGCCATTATTGCTGGTTTGCTTGCTTGTGCATGCTTGAGGATGGTTTGACGTAGTCTGTAGAATCTCCTCCTGGGAAATATCCTCATCTAGTATTTGTCTTCTCACTTGCCCCTGTGTTTTAAAAAGAAAAAAAAAGAAATACAAAAGGGCATAACAAAAATCATATCAATTTTTACAGAAATGTCAATACAGATATGTTAGGGTTAACTTGATCATGTGAATTAAATGGGACAAGATGTGCAAACTGTTTGCTTCCAGCTTGGTCCAATAATCTGTCACACTGGAATTGTTATGGGTCTAGTAACCTTCTTCAAGTAGCCAAAAACCAGTGAATTGTAGAAATATGGCAACTAAAAGGGAGTCAGGCAAGGAAGTACTGACTAACATGAGAAAGGGAATATATTGGGATTTTTAAACAAAAAATGCAGCAAACAACTGTATTGCAGACAGCAATACAGAAGTACCAGTAATCTGGTACAGAAATACCAGAATACAAAGAAAATACTATTTATCTAATGATACTTGGGAAACATTTATAGTAAAAATATTTCTAAGCAATATACAAAAGCACAGTATAAAATCAGTTACATATAGTATATTATTACTGTACACAGAAAAAATGAGCCTGTTTGCATATAGCAACAAATTTGCCAGATCGCATGCTGTGAATATGCAACATTCAGTCAGCCTGATCCTTAAACTGCTTAACTAATTAACCTACAATATACTGCCCATTACTTTTGAAAACAGAAAATAACCTCATGATGATCATTTTCAAGGTCTGTTATTCTGTATAAAATTTCTTTTGCTTTGTTCCAGTAGTCTTCAAGGATTATCTCTTTGCTCCACTGATCCACCTCCAACTGTCCTCCATCATTCAGTTTTAATGACTTTTCATTTAGTTTCAATGACTTTTCAGCTTTACAGAAAAAGACAGAATAAAAAATGAATTATAAAACCAGAAACACATATCATCCTGCATGTAAAACCCTTAAGTGTGGCACAATGTAAGATATGTTTTGTTTTATTGTACAGTGGTACCTTGGCTCACGAACGCCTCAGTTCACGACCAAATCAGGTTGCGAACAAAAATTTCAGAAAAATTCTGCCTCAGTTCGTGAACTCTGCATTGGGTGACAACCACGATCGTGGCCATGTTGCCGCACGAACACGATCACGCCCATCTTCCCCGCAGGAGCATGAGGGCAATCGCGCCCATCTTCGCCGCACAAGCACGAGGGCGATCGCGCCTGTATTCCCTGCACGAGCGCAAGCGCACAATTATGGTTTGGACTCTCCCTCCAAACAATAACCCCCCCACCTAGGTTAGTGTGCTCTACTGTACTGTATTTTGTTGTTCTTTGTTACTTTGTTTCAAATTTTTGTGATTTAAAAAGTATTTACAGAATAGATTAACCTTATTTACATTGAACCTTATGGGGAAATTTGACTTGGCTCGCAACCAATTTGAGTTGCGACCAGAGTTGTAGAACAGATTAGGTTCATGAGCCAAAATACCACTGTATTTATTAATCTTTCTGCTCATATATAGTCCCAAGCATGATCTTTCCTCATGAGATTTCTGGGAAAGCTGGAAACAAAAAATGACCAAATGAATTACTGGAGGAAGAAAAGATTTTGATTATGTCTAACTTAGCATTTGAGGGCAATGGTAGCTTTCTAAATGCTCCTATTTTTCTTCCTAACCATATAGATTCATTATTCACTGACAGTGTGATCTGTGAAAACATATGTGAGAATAAGGGTCTTGTGCATTTTCACCACTGGACAAAGGAGGACTAGTAGGTCAGTAGAATACCATTAAAAAAGAATCTAATTCTTTATTGACATGTAAAACTATCTAAACATCCAAAATAAAGGATTTGTTTATTAGTAATTTTTTCTTTAACACTTTAAATTGAGTCATCTTACCAAAATTATTGTCTCTTTTAATGGATTTTATTGTTTAGCTGAAAGTTTAACATATCACTATTAAGTCCCTCATGCAACAGTTATAAGACATAGTACACAATGTTATTTGTGGATTATCTCACTACCCAACATCATTTTCCAATACATTCTTGCATGGTAAAATGCTCCACAAATAAATGTGTTTATGATGTTGAAGGTTTCACAATACTCAACCAGAAAAAAACTTTCACAGGGGAAATCTTTGTTCCTTTCAGTATATGTTTGCTATTCACTTGTACATACAGAATAATCAACCCAATATCTGTTCCCCTTATAAACTAATATTTTTCTCTTCCATCTGAAACAATACAAATTTTCAAATCAATTAATGATTATTGGAAAAATTAGAAACTGGGAAAGTATAACCTTAGGTAATCCATTATTATTATTATAGAAAACTAACATTTTTGGTGTTGTTGTTGTTGCTAGTTGCGAAGTCATGTCCAACCCATTGCGACCCCATGGAAAACATTCCTCCAGGCCTTCCTGTCCTTCACCATCCCCCGGAGTCCACTTAAGCTGACACCAACTGCTTCAGTGGCTCCATCTAGCCACCCCATTCTCTGCCGTCCCCTTCTTCTTTTGCCATCTATTGTTCCCAGCATTAGACTCTTCTCCAGGGAGTCCTTCCTTCTCATTAGGTGGCCAAAGTATTTGAGTTTCATCTTCAGTATATGGCCTTCTAAAGGGCAGTCAGGATTGATCTCCTCTAATTTTTGGTGTAGTGGGATATTTTTCTAGCCAGAATAAAAAATCTGCTCCTAGTGAATGTACCAACCACCACTGAAACGAAACTGCATTGCTAATCAACACAACTGTTTAAACACACCAATGGGAAGACAGGGGGCATATCTCCAGAGAATGAACCTGTTTCTCATAGATATTCTTTTCATTAAAAAAAACAAAACACCTTCCCAGGACATTTTTGTGGCAACCCACAGATGGGGGAGGAGGAATTTATCTCTAGAGAACTTAGGCCTGTTTCCCATAGATCAGTTTTCTTTGAAAAAACTCATATGCATTGTTATACCCATATGTTACCAAAAAAAGCAGGTCGCTTACCTGTAACTGATGTTCTTCGAGTGGCCATCTGTGCAGTCACACATATGGGTGCTGTGCCTGCACAGTGCCTTTGGCCGGAAGATTGCCAGCTAACGGTTTTTGGCGGGAAGCTCCGCTCCCCCTCCCCCCATGGCCTATAAAGAGCGGAGCGTCCGCCATTTTGTTCAGTCTTTGCGACCGAACATGCACCCCCTCGTGGAAAAATTTGTAATTTGAGATAGGGAAATAGAGGGTCGGTACCATGAAAAAAGGGAACCTTCGGTACCGATAGATGTATCCACTCACCGACACCAAGCGGGGCCGGCAGGTGGGTTGTGTGACTGCACAGATAGCCACTCGAAGAACATCAGTTACAGGTAAGCAACCTGCTTTTCTTCGTTGTGGCCTCTGTGCATCACACATATGGGTAGATTAACAAGCTTACCATAAAGGAGGAGGGAAGGTGTCCTCAGTGAAGAACAGACGAAAGAATGGCTCTGCCAAAGGAGCAATCCCGTCAATCCCGAACATCGAGACGGTAATGTCTGGTGAAGGTGCAAGGGTTCGCCCAAGTGGCAGCTCGGCATACATCATCAAGTGAGACCCCGGATGCAAAGGTGGACAAGGTTGCAACGGCCCTAGTGGAATGGCCTCGAGGGACTGAAGGCAAATCGATCTTAGCTAGCTGGTAAGATGATAGTGTGGACTATCCATTTGGAAAGTCTCTGTGACGTGACTGGATCGCCCTGATCTCTAGTGGAATACTTAATGAACAGTTTATTTGAACATTGAATAGACTCAGTCCTCGATCTGTAAAAGGCTAAGCAACGGGCTAAGCAACGCCGAACACCAAGTGAATGCAAAGATCTCTCTAGTGGAGTCGACGGTGACGGGAAAAAGGCAGGTAACACAGTATCTTACCCCATATGAAAAGGTGTAGCCACTTTAGGCAGGAAAGACGGGTCGAGGCGTAAAACGACCTTCTCCCTGTGAAAGTTCAAATAAGGAAGGTCTATGCGGAGAGCGCAAAGTTCACTGGCCCTTCAGGCTGAAGTGACCGCCACGAAAAAAGCTGTCTTCCATGAAACCAGGCGCAGATCCACTGTTGCCAATGGTTCAAAGGGGGCTTTCGTAAGGGCTTGTAGAACGACAGAAAGACTCCAGGTAGGCATTACTGGCCTGATTGATGGGTTAAGATTATATAGTCCCTTAAGAAATCTCTTGACGATAGGTTGAGAAAAGAGGGGTGATCCGTCAACTAAGCCACGATAGTGGGCTATTGCTGCCGTATATACTTTAACAGACAACGGCTTTAATCCAGAATAGTGCAGTTCCAATAGGAACTGAAGGATGTGATGTACAGATGACATGAATGGAGAGAACAAACGAGACTCGGCAAAAGTGGAAAACCGTTTCCATTTAGCCGCGTATGATTTCCTTGTGGACGGCTTTAAGGCACAATTGATGATATGTTGGATATCAAGGTGAAAAGCTGTCGAATTCGATGGGTCATATTTTGAATCCAATGGTACAGAATGAACAAAGGAAGAGGAAGAGGAAGCGCCAGAGTGATTGGATTCGACAACTGGATTCAATTCAGCTGAAGTTGTCGTCGGTACCGGGGGGACAATGGTAGTCATCGGATTCACCACACTGTTAGATTCAATGAGAGCAAATCCGGGTGGCGAAGCACACCGTCCTGCTGAATTATAAGGTAAGGAAGCAATGGTAGATGAAGATATTCCCTGTGAAAGATGTCTAGTAGTGTTGCAAACCAAGCTTGGCGTGGCCACCAAGGGGCAACTAGTATCCCCGATGCTTGGTCGTGCACTATTTTCGCTATGACCCGCATCATAAGAGGGATCGGGGGGAAGGCATAAAAGAACATGTTGTTCCATGGGATCATGAAAGCGTCCCCTAAGGATGTGTGTCCGATTCCCGCTCTCGAGCAGTAAGCATTGCACACCCTGTTCTGTTGGGTGGCGAATAAGTCCACGACAGGAAACCCCCAGTGCTGGAAAAGATGGTTGCGTGTGCGAGGATCTAGCTCCCATTCGTGAGAGGTGAACATGTGCCTGCTGAGAAGATCTGCCTGCACATTGTCCGCATCAGCGAGGTGAACAGCCATCAGCGTGATGTCTCTCGGAATGCACCAGTCCCAAATTTCATGGAAAGTCTGGCCAGAGTCGGTGACTTCGTTCCCCCCTGCTTGTTCAGATAGAAGACGGTAGCTACATTGTCCGAGGTTATCTGAACGACCCGATGTTGAAGAATGTCCTCGAAAGAGCGCAGGGCTTTGAGTACTGCCAATAGCTCAAGGAAGTTGATATGATTCGTGGATTCTCGACGATTCCACATGCCTTGGGTATATAGGCCGGAGCATATCGCTCCCCATCGCAGGAGAGATACGTCAGTACCGAGGGTTATCGAAGGAGGCCATGCTCTGAAGGGCACTCCAACAGTCAGATTGGCTGGTACTGACCACCAAAGTAGAGAATGGAGTACGGAAGATGGGATTCGAATCAACTTCGACAGTGGGTCTCTCTGAGGATGGTACACCTTGTTGAAGAGAAGTTGTAGCGGACGGAGCAGAAGCCTGGCGTGCGGAACTACAGCAACCGAGGAAGCCATATGGCCCAGGATCCTCTGGATGGACTTCACCGGGACCATCCCATCTCATCGCATTCGATGGATGTGGCGAGCAAGAGTCTGTTGTCTGTCCCAGTGAAGGAAGGCTTTCTCCAACGTCGAATCCAAGCGGGCTCCAATGAAGGTAAGCGTCTGCGTCGGAAGAAGAGAAGATTTCTCGGTATTAATGAGTAGGCCTAGGTCATCCAATAAGGCACAGGTTGTACGGATAGACGCAAGGAGTCCCTCCCTAGACTGGGACACTAACAGCCAGTCGTC